TTCTTCTTGAAGTCGATGCCAATAACAACTCCTCTTTCAGCGCGCTTTTTCGCTGATCGCTTCGTTGCATGAGCGATGTGGCTCGTACACTTCGAGCCGAATTTGAGGATGTGCGAGACACTGGGTCGTTTTCCGGAGAGGGCCTCAATGGGAGACGCATGGTCGGCGTTCGCTCGAGTCGGCAGATAGTTGCGAATGTAGCTCGCATACAGAACAGCATCGCCCCAAAATCGCTGTGGCAATGCCGAGGCCCAGAGCATCGCTCGGGCGGAATCCATGACAGTCCGGTGAAAACGCTCTGCTTTTCCGTTTGATGATGACATGCCCGCCTCCGTTTCTTGGTGGAGAATACCCCGGTTGCGGAGGAAGCGGCCGAGTCTGGTGCTGCCAAATTCACCACCACCGTCTGAGCGAATCATCTTCACCTTGGTGTCGTATTGTCGCTCAAATTCGCTAACAAAGTCCTCCAAATGCACTTCCGCGTCGCTCTTTTTGCGGAGCAAGTAGACGCGATTGTAGTTCGTAGCGTGGTCTACAATGGTCAAAATGTGTTTGTGACCGAGCCGATCCGGGGTCATGTCCGTCTTCAGGTCAACGCACAAGGTAGCACTTGGTTCGTCCGTTGGGGCAGATGTAGAAGTATCCTGCTTGTTCTTCGCGCGTCGAGCTTGCTTCGCTTCAGCGCAGTTCATGCAGAAATCCACCTTCCGATTAGAGGCAACCATGCCTTCAACGAGGTTTTTGTCAATCATGAGTACCAGATCCTGGTAGTTCACGTGCCCCAGGCGTTCATGCCACTGCTGAAGCGTAGAGATCGTCATTGCTGCGAAGGAGGCCGCGCCTTGCTCGATTCCAACAGACCAAAGCCCAGTCGAGGCTGAATTACCCACTTCGGCAACAATCTTGCCCGTCTTGTTCGTAATTGTACACTGCTCCTCACCAAAGGTGCAGGTATAGCCTCGAGCGGTGAGTTGAGCCACTGAAATCAGGTTGCGGTCAATACCTTTTGCGAAGTACACGTTTTCTAGCAGGACAGTACGAGGCACTCCTTCTGCCATCGTCGTGATGACAGTCTTTCCCTTCTCAGTAGCGGCGACAAGATCTCCATTCGCCACTCGCACCGACAGGAATGCTGGCTCTATCGCGAAAAGTTGGTCACGGTCGATGCAAAGGTGGTGAGTCGCTCCCAAATCCACTGTCCAAACATTTCCTCTCGTGGCAGAAGCGCCGCGCTCGGCACCGTCGGCAGCGACCCAGACATAGCCTTCATCATCAGAATCTCTGGGTGTGTCGTCATCATCAGCAGCGGCTACGTTCGCACTTCCTCTGGTGGCTAGTTGTTTTGCCTGTTCCACGAGTGGACACGTGAAAATCTTGTGACCAGGCTTCCCGCACACATGGCAATGTATTTCACCACGATGACCAGCGGCGGCAAAGGCTTGGCCGTTATTTTGCTGCTGCGGACGTCGATCCGAGTTGTCGTTGTTGTTTCGCTGGTTACGCCAATGCTGATCATTATTGTGGCGATTTCCGCTGCGGTGGCCATGTGAATTCGGGTTCCGGCGGTCAGCATGACGGTTTTTGCGTTCATCTCGCTTCGCACCACATCTGCGCCCGTCACCTTTCAGCTTGTATAGCAGTCGCTTCATGCGATCGGTTTCCGCAACGTAATCGCTTGCGTCGTCGGGCACTGAAGACAACAGCGTGGGCGCTAACTCGGGGCATGCATTGTTTCCGAACACCTCCATGACCATCTTGGTCTGATCACCTTCCATAAGGCTCTCGATGAAGTTCAAGTATTCCAGGTAGTCATGCCACGTATCGCCTTCACGCTTGTTATACTGCATCTTCGTGCTGAGTTAGAGTTGGCTTAGTTTACAGCCAAACTCTGCACGCATCGCGCGCTTCACATCTGAGTACGGCATGCTGTCACCATTATGACGGCGCAGCCACTCTGAGTTCTTCTTGTGATAGTACCTAGACGCTTTCCCCTCGAGGAAGTTGACAATCACCGATGCCTTGATGTCGTCGGTCCAGGTGGATCCGTTCACGAGCTCCTCCGTCCTTATTGCATGCTCGAACTCGTGGATGAATTCTCGAAGCCAGCTCCTAACCCAGGGTAAACCTCGTTTCCCTTGAAGTTCGAGCAGCGTACGTCCTTGATTTTAGGCTTCTTCGGTGATGGAGGTGCGGTTTCCATGCTAGTATCCGGCATGGAGGGGGAACGGGGCGCTCGCGTCGCGAGCTGCTTCTTCAGTTCTGCCAGCTCGGACTGCAGTCGAAGGATGAGCTGGAGCTGGTCGTGCTGCTCCATTGTCTCTTGGTCCGAAGGGTCGAAGTGCAGGTCGTCTGGCAGTCCTAGGCGAGTATTCCTTCCGTCTTGGTGGTCTTCGTCAGCCTCGTTAGCACCTCGTGCCTCCGAGTATTCTTCAAGGTCTTCGTTGTCGCCTCGCGAGTCTTCGAAGTCTTCACTGGTCGCTGCAGAAGGCGAGCCAGTTGGGTTCATAACCTGAAGGGAGCACTCGTTGATCCTGCACGGGTTGCTCCTTGTAGTGGTGCCTCGCACCTGGTGTATTGCAGAATGAGTTAGGTTGGATGATGCTAGGATGTCTGTGCTAGGCTTATATGCATCGGTAGTTTCGTGTTGTGTAGCTGGAGGGGTCGTTGTGGTCGTCGCAGGCCGTTATCGTCGCCACTGCACTCATCGCAGGTGGCGCCAGCTCTTGCGATCTCCAACACCACGCTGGGACCACCAAATCAAAACTAGGAGCTCGTTGGATTGGCCCGTATCGTGTTGAACAGCGACTCGGCCAGGACTACTACGAATTGAAGTTACCGAAGGGCGTCAAATTCCACCCCGTGTTTCACACCAGCTACCTCAAACCATATGTGCGTGACGCATCACGAGAGCAAGAACCTTTCAAGGTGCAGCTACCAGACGGCACCGAGGGTGAGTTGGTCGATGATATTGTGGGGCACAAGCGCATCCGAGGCAAGGACTACTACGAGGTCAAGTGGACCGGAAAACTCAAGACTACCTGAGAACCTCTCGCAAATCTACGATTCGTGGGCGACCTGATCACTCCCTTCCACGAGCGTGCAAACAAGAGGAGGTCTTCTCTTCGGGGACGGAATGTCACGAGCTTCTGCAGGAGCTCGTGAGCACATTGATGAGCCTGTCACTGTTCAGAGGAACTCTGCCGGAAATTACTTAACTACCAGTGTAGCCGTTGAGCGTAGTGGGTGCATGTTTAAGATAGGCTAGCAGAAGATAGTTAGCAGGAATGACCGCTGGGCATTCCGGAATCTGAAAAGAAGGAATAAAGTCGACTTTTGCTCCGGCCAAGCCGACGTGGGCAAACCACACCGGTGAGCTCGGGAGGGGGATCTCGGGCACCTCGACAGCTCAACAAGTACCGTAACTCTACAAACACAGATTTCGTGTATCAAGAGCCTCAACAAACAGCTTCCTTTGTCTAAGTGCTACCAATTTCCATCTTCCGGCTCGCACGTGAGCAGGAAGATTGCGACAAACGTGTCGTGAAACAAAGCCGTGAGCGCCGTAGCGTTGGCTGCCCAGACTAGCTGATACGTAAGGCAACCCGCTAAAGGTCAGCGCGCGCAGATGAACAGCGGTGCGGACTCAATTACCACCCAGATCGAAGGCAATTGGCACTGGGGTTATCACTACCAGCAGTCAGCGCAACGTAGAGCCGATGAAGTCTCTCGGCGCTATCCGCATCGTCGCCTACGTATCTACGACGGTAACCGAAGCAAATCACGCCGTCCTACCGCTCGTTCTGGAGCACCTAGAGTACGTGTCTGTAGATATGTGGCTTCGGATACCTCGCTGCTTTCGTGAACGTCACTCGCTTCACGATTGCTTTAATGTGTCGGACGTGAACTCGGTGCCAATCGAGATCGCCCACGTCAGCTAGGAGACGGGGGTGAGGTGGGGTCGTTGAGGCTCCTGCACGAGCTCCTCTGCGCCGAGGCGTCTTAGTTTGCTGTTGCTGTCGTCGCTGAAAATTGTACTTGAGAAGGGAGAAATGGTTCTGATGCTTGAATTTGTAGCATTGATTTCAGAGCTCCCAGCGCCAGGAACAACTACTATTAATGCTACCAGAGCCAGGGAGGAGTCCTGGGCATGTTGTACTTACCGCACGGATGAGCGTAGTGAGTATGATCGTGCTGTAGTCCTAAGGCTAGCTGTGTGATTTTGGTCACGTGACCTAAGTGCCAAATGTGTGACCTATCCGTGAGCTATCTTCAAGATTTGGCAGTGACCAAGTTTGCCGTTTGACCTAATTTAGTCGCTCCCGGCGGTGCCGGGAGGGAGATCGCTCTCCTCCAGAGACCACGAGCGATTCCGAGTGCGACTACATTCACATCGAGTGCGTTGCCCCGCCCCCGGTCTGCAACAACGCACTTTCTGGGACAACGGACTGCACCCCAATCGAAGACCGGCATATCTCGGCACCAACGCTCCGACTAGGGAGTGCGCCCGAGCAAGTGGAGAGCGACCCCGGTTCGCGCGGTGGTCTCTGCTGTCGTGGTCGCAGAGGAATATACTGGGCCGCCACCTGATAACGGAGCTCGACAGCGGACGGCGGCGCAGGGAGAGACGCACCCCCGTCTACATTTGCTGGGCCTTCCTGATACCTAAACTCAAGCCCTACGACCACGACTACAACAGCCTGGATAGGAGACGGAGGGAAACATGGTCACCAGTTGCACAACTCACGCAGGATGAAGCGGACAGGGCCCGTCTCATGCAGTTGGCCAGCTTCGCTCCAATTGTCAAGATCCTGGAATCTACGATCGACTCGGCGATGAAAATCATCAACCCTGCTGATGCCAGTACGAAACAATTGTGACACCAGCATCCTCAGAACTAGCGTGGCGAGTTGATGAGCTCGTTCAAATTGTTGCTGAACGATAGAGACGCGATGATGGCGGCTATTGGAGACGAGGACTCACAGGTGGAAATTCTGACATGGATGAAGCACAGTCTTGAATTGCACAGTGACGTGCTAACTCCACGAGAATTGAGCCTGATATCTGTAGTGTTTGACACAATAGTCCAACGATCAGGTGTCGTGCTGGGGAGTTTACCCGAGTGGTTTGCGATCTCCGCCGAGAAATGGGACAAAGCGCATGTATCCAAGATCCCGGAAGGGGAAGAGAAATGCCTAAGGACTGCGGCCGCGTGGATCGAGTTAAACCACCCAAACATTCGGAAGCTGTTTGGTGCGTGCCATGTAATCGTGGTTCATGAACGGAGTACTCCATATTCGGGCAAAATCTTTTCGTGGGGACGCATACTGGTTTTTGCTCATGAGCTGGAATAGTACCTACACGACCGTGGTCTTGTTCATACGGACCTCCCACTGGATGAATTTCACGGGTCGATGGTGTCTGAAACCCAAGGTGGAAAAGGCGTGTTGAGTGGACTGAAGCTGATACGGATTGAAGATTGCGGGGAGCAAGCTCTGTACGGTTTTGAGGAAGAAAATGCTGAAAGCCCCGGAGATATTTCCATCGAGTAGTTCTTTAACCCTCGGCGAAAACTACGACGAAAACCGCGAGCATTGAATCGCGCCACCGCGTCATTTCCCTCGGATATTTAGGCTTTTGGGCTCGTTTTCGTAATAAGTGACGAGCTGCAATACCGCCAGACTCTCACTACAGATATCAGAGCGTTCCGCAAGCACTACGCGAAATGCCTTCTACGCAGCCCAAGTTCGTAACAGACGATGAGTTCAAGCTATTGCTTGGAATGTACGCGGAGATCCCAACGAAAGAATTAAAATTGCGCATGCTGTTTACCAGATTCGGGTGCTGGCTCAAACCGAAACCTCTAACCTGCAACCCGATAACGAAGGCTCAATCGTCGAGTTTGAGGCCTAGAGATTTTAAGGAGAGCGACTTCCACACATGCTCGACGAAGCTGAGCGGCTATGCTCAAGCTTGAACGAGCTCGAAGCCATCAACCAGCCTGTTCTAGATCGTCTGCTGGAGATTTATTCTCAGTTCATCCGGCCTAAAGTGCGTCCAATACAGAAGCGCTTGGTTAACGACTTCAGCTTGATCCTGTCACGCTTTATTGGCTTCATGGACGATCGGTGCATTGTAAGCCAGACTGCCAGTATATGCGCGTCTCGGACTATCGCGGGCAACAACTACAGCATTCACCACGACATCGACAGGCTGCTTCTCGGCTCAACGTTAGATTAAAAAGCACCAGTGCACAATTCGCAGCCGAGGTGGGAATTAGGCCGTCGGCAGCAAAGTTTTTGTCAAGAAGTAGATTTGTGGTCCTCACTAAACCGCGATCAGTTGATCAACCTGTACTGTACGGTGCTTGCCATGAGGACCAAGCTTTTTTTGTGTGTAAGCACGCCGCTCATGTGACACTCATGCCTTATGTTCAGGGGAAACCTCGGCGCAAGGTTTGGGAGGGTATATACGAAGCTACTCTCGGTCTCAAGTACGTCAACGAGCGAGGAACTGTCCACGGTGACCTCGAGGTCCGGGGGTGTGAACACGGCGCCAAGTTATGACTTTGGACTGAGCTTTATCGCGCAGTATCCTGATACCGGAGCAGGTGTCAATGGAGCTCTTGGCGTTTACCATTGGAAGGCACCAGAATGTCTGGCTGGTTAGAAGCTGGTCATGGGTAAAATCAATGTTGGACAGCGCAGTGATATCCAATGTGATCGAGAAGAAACTCCCAACAACTAAGTATCAACTCAATAGAGCGATGCTCGTGTCAAGTATGCGCTGTTTCGACGCTGACCGCAGAACTAGCGTTAACGTTGTAGTTTACTGCGCTTTTAATCAGTGTTGAGGGCTCCATGCATGGCGGTGGGAGTATCTTACACGTTAAAACTGAAACTATGTAGGTGGATTGGAGCTGGAGCTGGGGAACATTCGAAGGATGTTCCGGTTTCCGGATAGAAGATAGGAGTTTCGAAACCACTAGGATATCTACGGAGCAGACGCCAAGGGGCGGTCGGCAGCGACTAGCCGCTTGCGCCTTCAGATAGCTCATTCTCGAATTCGCCCTCGATCGATAAAGCTTCCAGGTATATCGCTGTACTCTCGCCTCCACGCGCTATTTTTTTTCACGCGGCCATGTCGACTCTACCAGTTACTGCCGGAGCGGTCGCGTTCGTCGGCCCTTCATAAGTGCCAGCCCTTGAGTAATTATTGTACTGACGTCTTCATGTCGAACTCCGGGCTGCTCTCGGTAGCATCAGGGCCCGTGACCCGTACCAGCACTGAAGCACCTTGTACTTTGCTACCTTGTACTTTGCTACAAGGTGCTTCAGTGCTGGTACGGGTCACGGGCCCTGATGCTACCGAGAGCAGCCCGGAGTTCGACATGAAGACGTCAGTATTACGCCATCGCATCGTGGACGAAGCGGAGACAGAGCTATGGCCTGGATCGTACGTCGGTCATCCAATCGCATTTGTACAGCCATCGGGCGACTCTATCAACCAGTGGGCGAATGGTCTTGTGACCGGCTACAACATGGACAGTGGAGTGGCCAGCCTCCATATCCGGACCGAGAGCGACAGCCGCCAACTCAGACTGACCGGGCCGTCGACCGTCATCGCGGTTGATCGCCTCAACTATGCGCTCCGCACGGGAGCGACGGTGAATGTTATGGTACTTAACGCATTGAAGCTCGTGGACCGACAAAACGAGGTGATCGTCGCGTGTGGCAAGAGCAGATCAGGCCTCCCAGCAAGCGTCACGACAACAATCCTTAGTGTGCCTTTCACACCGGACGAGCGCGTCCCGTTAATTCGACCGGACACTCTGGAAGTAGTGCTCATCAGGCGTCAGCATATTGTGGACTGCGAGCTCAATGTTCGTGGAAACAACCCCTCGGAAGTTTTCAAGGATCCTGTAGTAGCCGACGTTCCTGACCCAAAAGCTCGCACTAACCCGAAGGCACGATTGACTAACGATGTGGATTTAACCTTTAGTGACTCAGACGACGAGGGTAAAACCGAGTCAGCACAGACGGAGCAGGCCGACATCGAGCTGGTGCGCTTAGACAACCGACCTCTACGCAAGCGAGCCAGGATCACCGAGCCAAATCACCCGGACCTGCTATTACCGGACAACATCGACGTCCCCGTTCTCGAGACCCGCCCCGATGCCCACAAGACCGCGTTTCGGCCGTCGGAAATTGAGCAGTATGTGCACAATGCAATCGTGCACCCATCGCTCATCGGTAAGAAAGCTCAAGCTGTGCTCGAATCCTCGAAGCAAGGACCGCGGACCAAGTTTCTCGGAACCCCGTCTGTATTACGTCTGTCGTACGACCTCAGTTTCGGCATCCGAGGGCTCTCTCTGATGCATTTCCGCCGATTCTTCCAAGAACTCGAGCAACAATCGGCCGTGGACTCGGTAAACATGACCAACTTTGGCAGGTCCAACGCACTCCAGCCCGCGACGCCACCGAAGAATATCGACGAGATAGTTGACGCATTCAAAACGCTGCTGTATTTTGCGGAAGGGTTCTACAACACCACGGTCTGCAACTTTATCAGGACCGGTGCCGACTGCATGGAGCAATACGCGCTCTTTACACGCCCCGACGCAGCTACCTGTAGCATGCTGGTCTTCTGGATCAACTCGAAGCTGGGAAAGTTTCGCAGTCAACTCATCACATCGGACCTCGCGACAGCTTCGCTCATCGGACGGGAGTTCACACGGAATGACGGTCATCTGATGGAGCTCTATCAAGCCCGGCACGACCGCCAAATGGCCTCGCTCGTGCCATGCAAATCTAGCCGAGCACCGGCCAGCAATAACTCGACTCAGCAACGGCAAGGGCGAAGTCAGAAAGTGTCAGCCGTCCCACGTGACCTGCTAGCACTATTGCCAAAACAAGGCAACAAGTCCATGTGCATGCGCTACCTGTCCAAGAAGGGGTGTACCGGTCCAGCGCTAGGGCAATGTTTCGACCTGAACAGGGCCCACTTCAAGCCTCTCGCTCTTCCCGCCGACGCGAAACAGTTTATCGACAAAAATTTCCTCGGCCTGGCTGCAGAGTTCCAGGACTTGTGACGCCAACAGCCAGTGACAGCACATGATAAGCCGGGAGTTCAGAATACTCGTAAGCCATCAACAGGATGGACCGGTAACTTCAGTTGAATATTCAGATTTCAGACAGAACCAGCGTGCTGCTCACTCAGTTTTCCATCAGACTCAACTAGGGCTGCATCGTGCAATGGCCGCTGCCCGACACCTCGAATATCGGAACTTTGCTGCTCGACACAGGGTTGAGCTCCCTGCGCAACAGCTAGTACAGGCCGGTCATCTTCACATAGAGCGCATCAAGGCTGACTCCGAGCTTGCCCGACGTTCAGGTCTCTCCCTGGATCAATTTGTACGGGTCTATCGCAATCAGACCTCGGACGACCCCAGGCCCACCAAGGATCTATTCAAGCTGCGCCTGCCAGCAGATCCCAGTCTACGAGATCTGAAGAGGCGATGGAATTCGGTCGGTCGTGATGGCGTCCAGCCAATGTGGAAAAACAGCAAGCCCCAGACACAGCAGACCCGACAATCAAACCACCAGTCCATGGCGAATCACCAGCAGGACGTGCTCCACCACATCATCAAAGGTCAACGCGACGGGCGATATCTGGTGGTCGAAGCAGACCTACTGGATCGCTGGACCAATATCTTCCTCAGTCCGATAGGAACGGTGGAGAAGTCGGGTGCGGCGAATCGAGTCATTAACGACTACTCTTTCCCGGACGGAGCCTCAGTGAATGAATTTACCGATCGGAGTAATTTTCCCGTGATCACTTACGACCCACCACGCGAGATCGCGCGACGCATATTCGAGCGCAGACGGCGGTTCCCTGGTCACCCAATTCTGATGATGCTCGGAGACGTATGGGGCGCATTTCGCCACATTCCAGTCCAGGCTGAGCATGTCCACATGTTCACCTTTCGGTTCGAGAACTACATCGTGGTGGATCTCTCGTGCGGCTTTGGATGGTGCGGGTCTCCGGCATTTTATTCTCTAGCTGGTTCTCTGATCAACAATCTGTATGAATCGCAGAAGCCATGCCTCGGACTCTCCCCGCTCGACCCCGGCGCATGTGAAGGAAACGTGTGGTGCGATGACCACACGTGCGTCGAGGTGAATATGGGAACGAGGTGTTTTGAAGCAAATTTGCGCTCCGAAAAGCGATGGCGACGGTTCTCGGCCCAACGGCGCTCAACGAAGAAAAATTTACGGCATGGTCAACTCACACGAAGGCCCTGGGCTTAATGTGGGATACACATGACGGCTCCGTATCTGTGCCCACAGAGAAAATCTCAGAAGCTCGAAGGCAAGTCATGAATATCCTCGAGGCCACGTGCGGCACGTTATCAGTCCTGAACAAGCTGCTGGGGAAGCTCCGATACGTGTCATCTTGTTTCCCGCCAGCACGAGCCTTTTATCAGAATATCCAAGTCTTCGCAGTAGGATTCAAGTCCCCGAGGATGCGGCGTGTAATGGGCCTACTTTGGCTCACTACTTTAGCTTACACGTGTGCGCGTGTATGTGAGGAAGCGTATCTTAGTTTAAATTAGAGTGAATTATACTCGGGCCTCCGAGTATAGATTAATCTAAATAAACGATCCAGATAATGTTTTTGGGTTAAAATGAGAACTGCTATTTTTGTTTTATGTTTCTGACTTCCTCAAAATGTAATATTCTAAGATAGGAATCTGCCAACGGCTGGTTGGCAGAATTCCAATGCTATGCATGTCGCTCATTGGCTAAGAGATGCTGCTCTCAGCCAATAGGAATCCTAAGTCTCTATGGACCACCCGAAATGTATGTAGTCTTTGGTGTATCTACACCAAGGTCGAGAAAGTCTTTCGAACCTCTAACAGACGTCGTATATGTTAGAGTTACAAGTGACTGTAGCCACTTGTGCGTGTAACCCTGTCACACGGCGTCAGATCCCTCCAGACGTGAGAGAAGATTTACGATGGTTTTCACTGGTTCTTACGATGGACACGAAGTTCAACTCCATTCCCGTCGAACATTTTGCCAGGCTGGAGCCTCCGTCCCGGCACGTCTGGATGGGTGCATCAGACACAGGTGTCTGTGTCCTAGAACCTCAGCTACGCCAGTTCATCCGCCTGAAATTCAGCGAGGCGGAAAAAGCGGTGTTCGCGACGTCAAAACAAGCAAACTCCATCAACGTACGGGAGCTAATGAGCGCGGTCCTGGCAATACTGCATTGGGGACCGGCATGGGCAGCGACTGGGCGAGATCGAACACACATCTGCATGTGGATCGACAACACCAGCGCGGTGGCATGGTTGGCAAAGCGATCGAGTCGTCATCCGACGGTTCGACTATACAATCGACTTATTTCGGTGTCAGAGTTCCGCTATTCCTTGACGTGCTCGGCAGCACACATCGCGGGGGAGGAGAACGTCATGGCCGACGCCGGATCCAGGGCATGGTGCGAGGATCATCCTTTGTATGCCGTGTGGACTAACTTATCCGATGCATGGACACAGGTTCAAACCGTTCCGCCATTCGACAATCTATCGAGTCTCTGGGCAACATTATCCGTGGACACGCTGTCGCTGGTTCAACCGCCGGAAAATACAACACGTACTGGCGGCAATGGTGTGATTTCTCCCATGGTCGCCGTGGATCTCGCAACCCGGAAGGTCCGCCAACAGAAAGCTAGGATGCTTCGCAGTTTACTGCTGGAAGTACGGATGGAACCGGAGGAAGCACGGCAACGCATTCGGCACGATCAAGCTTAAGCTCGCGAGCATCCGGTGGTTCCATCGTCGCTATATGGGAATCGACCTGACCACTTCACCCGACTTCACCATGCTGCTACAAGGAATCAAGCGCTTATCGCCTCCGGTTCACAAGCTCCAGCCAATTACCCCAGCGTTCCTGCGTCTCCTGTACCGTCGCCTCGACCTACAACAGCCGCACCAACAACTCCTATGGGGCAGCGTGCTAATTGGTTTCTTCTTCCTACTTCGGAGGTCGGAGTATCTGCGAATCGGACAGCAGCGGCATTTTTACTGCCTCAAGCATCAAGATGTCTTCTTCTCCGATGCCGAAGGAAGACCAGTCAGTGAATCCGGTCATCTGTCCCGTGCTCGCCCTCAAAGCGATCAACACGGCTCGACGAAGTACAGCTAGCGACAGCCCCTACCTGTGCGGCAATCTCAGTGCTACAGCAGTGACCAATGCCTTTAAGGCAACCGCGCGAAGCATCGGCGTCCCAGAAGCACACTCTCGACGCACTCCGTCCGCATCGGAGGTGCCACAGCACTGCTAAGCGGGCAGGCAAGCAATACGGCCATCAAGCTGCTCGGCCGATGGATCTCCAACTGCTTCGAGCAGTACCCGACACAAGCAGCAAGTTCGACAGTCAAACCCTCTCGGCAAATGGTGAGCACGCCCGCGATCAACCACCACGCGTAAGGGCCCGCGAGGCCGCTCACCACGCCCTCACTCGGCTGGTCGACGCCAATGAACAACATTGCCCCAAAACGACTGATAAGTATTCTTGGAAGCACGCCTAACTCGTACTACGTAGTATGTGGCAGCAAAATCGACATTGATTCGCTTAATATTGTTCGAGAGCTTGACTTGGTTCGCTCCCCACATCTTCATGTACTCTTCAGCATACTTGCGGATGTTCGTTTGCCCGAATTCCTGCAGCTTCGCCTCAATTTGAGGAGGAGCTACTCTTTCGGCAAGCCATTGGTTCATCTTGACGCCCATCGCAGCATCTTCCGCTGTCGCCGGTAAACTTGTTGCCTTCTTGGGATTCCTAGCCAGATACCTGGCGTAGTACCTCGCGAACCTCCGGAACTCTTTGTCCTTGAGACTTTTAACCTTGAGCTTCTTCATGGCCTTGGCGGGTCCAAAGCCGCAATTCAGCACGATTAACCACTTGGCCTTGGCTTTCATGGCCTTCGCTGCCGTCGATAAGACCTGGACCACGCCGATTTCCCTCTCCTCGTCACTCTCTACTTCATTGACGCCAGTGTGTTTGGTCGCCCACCTCCCGAAGGAGTCGCTTGGTCGGAGCGTCGTTTTGATCACCAGGAACTGCGTGAGCACCAACCGAGGCAGCTGCACTTTGTCCAGTGCAGGCGGCCGCTAGGAACACAAGGAGAACCACGAGCTTGAGGCTCATGTTTGGGCGCAGCACGGAACCGGGGGAGTAGGACACTTGAGTGCTGTGCCGGGGATCGAAGACTGAAGAAGGAGGCGATAAATTCGGCAAACGCGCGGTTGTAGGAATGCCTATCCGGAGATACCTATCCAAGAATGGCTACGTACACAGTCTTTCCGGGGGGGGGGGGGGTGAAAGAGGGCCAACGGAGGTGAGCGGTTGCGAGGAGCGTAGCCGCAGCAAACCCGCGCGGGTGCCTGCGAAGCAGGGCCGCGCGGTATTTGCGGAGGCGGGCCCAGCGATGAGCATTCCAGCGAGCCGAGCACTGTTCTCGCCAGGTGAGAGAATCTTTTTATCGCAGGAGCGCAGCGACTGCCTTTGCGGAGCGGAGCGGAGCAAAGTACCCCCGCTGGGTGTCATCCGTCCTGCACCAGATCGTCACGTTGTAGGGTGATGGGCTCCCAATACAAATTCTAAGCTTTATAATAATATTAGCCAAATCAGACTGTGTACGTACAGTAGCCTCTGTCATACCTATCCACTTCGTGGTGTTAGTAACACCGTGTTACTCAACATGCCATGATTTGCTTGGTTGGTTGGATATACTTCCTCTGGGTGGAAATAATTGCAATGACTTTTTTTGTCGGACGACAACTTTTTTTCTAGGTACGCAATTGGACCGCGGATTGTTGCATTTGACGCGCCATGAGCTGCAATTGGCTCTCCTTCTTTAATCACTCAAAAAACATGAAAAATGCCCGAGATACGATCAAAAGGGAGCGAACAGCTTGCGTCAATTTCGTACTTAAGACTTTCTTGTTGGTGCATAAGACCGGCTCGAGGCATCAGCAAATCCACGGACGGCATCTTAGTGCGAAAAGCTTAACATTCAAGCCTAACTAGGTATCATCTAACAGCTAAGAGCACCACGGCGGTTATTACAAGACTCAGCGCTTTCTTTCAAGGTGCTACATGCGTCTGTCACTAAGAAATTGCAAAGTTACCTTGGATCTCAATATGTGAATTTTGCTTTTTCTCGTGTACATGTGCACTCTTTTTACCAGGATTGTACTGTTTTTACCACATTTGCAATTATTTCCGCCCGGAGGAAGTAGTAAAGTTATAGCGTACATGTACATCGCATTACTAGAACATTTTTTAAACTTAAAAGTAAGAACAGTAGCCTTCCTGATGAAATACATGTCCAGTATGCGACCTTGCTCGTTGTGCTGTAGCGATGAGACCCAGACTCAATGCATGTTGTTTTACAAGGAGTACATGTATGGCAATTATAAGTGCAAACCTGTAACTTCGATGCGCGTTACTTAGTACACCACAGATGTTTTGTTTGAGCTTGCCATTCCTACTGCAAAAATTCAAACGCCGCAACATCACGATGGACATGAGCCACTGTGGATCAATGCCAGCGTTGGCACGTACAAGTTCTCAACTGTATCTGTACACTGTATTGTACTGTATGGCCATGGAAGTTGGCTGGTATGTGTATTGATTCCAAATATCGCCAGACAATATTTAAAATATAGTATATATACAATGTTTCAAGGCTCGCGGCTGCAGCCGCACAGCATTCAATAGTAACTATTTAACCCGCATGCATGGATTGTCTCGAAATAAATCGCTCCACTACTTTCGCCCATTCGGGAGATACTTTAAGCAAAACTCCTGATATTCCACGGCGGGACTTTTGCAAAAAGGGCTGCGTTCCTCTTCATCAATTCAATAATTTTCCGTGGTGAAAAACTACTCTGTTGAGTTTTTTCTTTATGTTTTGCGGTTAGCGCCGATAGCACTTGGATCAAGAGTTTTCTCAGTTTCAGTTTTGTCTCGTTTCACGAGCAATGTTGCATAACTTTAGGCCACACTACTCGAGAAAAGATCGACAAAGTGGAAACACACGCATGATATTGTGTTGAAACTCGGAAGCGAACATGCTACTGGTATTAAATCTGCAGTTGATTTTCAGATTTTTACAACATTACTGGCTCATATTGCACTGTTTGAACGGATACAGTTCGTGTATATGCTGTTCTTGTGAGCTGCTGAAAAATGTATACTCACCTCGTGTTACGCCAAAGGGAAACATCTATCGCTGATGTGAGCACGATTTACTAAATCTGATTGTCTTACTACTGTATTGGTACGCAGCATTCTACAATTGCAAGATGTACTGATTCTTTTACACACTTACTACCGGTAGTAACTCTTACAAACAGAACTTGCTGGAGTTTTCACTCCCTGTTGGAATCCTCACCAAGTTTCGAACGCGCAGTATTTTCGTTTCTAGCTTATATTTCTAGATATTTCAGCCTGCTTCTTTCCCCACATTTTGACGTATTGCTTCAGGTACTTTTTGATGTCAGGCACTTGAGCTGCTTGCAGCCTCAATGCAACTTCCTGTGGATATAACGCCTTCGGGAGGCTAATGTACTTCTCCAGCGCAAGGGTGGCTCCCCCGGCCTCCATGTACTGGCCCATGTACTTGCTGATGTCCGGCACCTCCGCATTCTTCAATTTCAGGGCAAGCTGTTGGGGAAGGATCTTGTCGTCGAGCCAGGTGCGGACAGCGACGTTGGATCCTCCGGCCTCCATGTACTGCCCCATGTACTTCGAGACGTCCGGCACCTCGGCACTCTTCAGCTTCTGGGCCACCTCCATAGGGAGCAGCTTCTTGCTTACCCATTTCTGGAAGGCGTTCTTAGCTGCTCCCGCCTCCATGTATTTCCCCATGTACTTCGACACGTCCGAGATCTCCAAGTGCTTGAGCAGAATGTTGACTTGAGACGGAGGGCGCTTCTGCTGGACCCACTTGGAGAGCATGGGCAACGCAAGAGCGTCGTCCACGTCCTTGCGGTACAGCTGCAGGTACTTCTCCACGTTGGTCGAGCCAGCGTCCTTCAAGAGCTGCTTGACTTGGGACGGCCGCAGCGTCTGACCCAGCCACTCCGTCAGCTTCGGCAACAATACGACGTCTTCCGCCGTCGCAGGCAGGCCCGCGGACTTGTCCGGGTATTTGGCCAGGTACTTGGAATAGTACCTGACGAACTTGTTGAAGTTCTTGTCGTTGCGACTTGTGACCGAGAGCTTCTTGAGCGCCTTCTCTGGGCCAAACCCGCGCCAAAGCATGATGTCGTTCTTGGCCTTGGCCTTCATCGCGCTTGCTGCAAACTTGGCGGCTTGGCCGTAGCCCCTCTCTTCTTCATCGTCGAGCTTCGTTGCGGTCGTAGCAGCCAGTGAATCTGTGGACGTGGCCTCACCCCTAAGAAGTCGTTTAATCGGAGCGTCACTCCTCCCAGCAGAGACTGCACTAATTCCTAACGCTGCGTCAGGCGAGGTGAGCTTGGAATCCGCTTCGATCCGTCCAGCGAAGGCGATCACGAGGAGCACGAGCAGCACCAAGCAGTCTCGACGCATTCTCATCCGGTTCGAACCACTTGGCGAGAATCAACAACTGAGTGCGACGAACCGGATGTGGATGAATATAGTGGCCTTTCCGACTGATAAGTGAGCAGGATTGTTTCAGGCTGGTCATCATCTGAATTACAGCCTATCATATCGCCTGGAGTCGCTATTTCAGCCAATGACATCGGTTAGGGTTAGGTGAATGCATTCCTACACTTTCCGACAAATATTTGTCGGAAGGCTGGCCTAAATATGTATCTGCCTATACAAAAGTCAAGTATAGAAAATATTTTCGCCGTTCTGACAGCTAGGATGTGACTTAGAATAGGACGGATTGGAGTTTTGATTGGTGTTTATTGCAAGAAACGCGACCCAGCGACGGCCAGAGATCGCGACCCAGCGACGGCGAGCGCGGAGCGCGGTTCCTGCACAGTGCCGCCACCTCCGCGCACGCATCCGACGGACCCGGGGCATGACGTCTCGCGCGGCGCACCGGTCGGGGCTGGATGGAGCACGTCGAGCGTGTGCTACTGCAGGGCGCTGCCCATCGACCCGAAGACGGTGTGCGTGCTCACGATGGGCAGCGATGAGGTGGTGGTGGCGGTCTACGACGAGGTCGCCGGCCGGCGCACAACGTCCCGGGCTCCGTCTCCGTCGAGGGCTGCTACTTCCGAGACGTCGGCCAGCTCTACTGTTCGTGCGGCAGCACGTCGTGCACCATGCCCCCCAAGATCGTCAGCAAGATGACCCTCGTGACCGTGCATAAAATCGGCGGCGAGCCGACCAAGCCCAAGGACAAGAAGGTGGACGGGTGCACGTGGTCGCAGGGCTCCACGTCGGCAAGCTCAAAAGCGGGGCGTCGGTCTGTCAGGCTCATCCAGCGAGGAGTCCACCAGCGCAGGTGAAATGGGCGGACCCCTGCTGGGTCCTCCATGCGCGTCGCTGCCCCGGACGAGATGGAGGCCAAGGCCACCGCGGTCGTGAACGTGCCCCGCGAAGGCCAACGGCCCGTCATGACCTCGCTGGTGGGCCCGTTCGAGGCTGGTGAAGTCGAATGGACGAACAGGAGTAGCGTTAGACCACGCGTGCTGCAACAACCGGCAAGATTGCCGAGATAGCATCTTAGAAGGTGAACTGCAGTAATATATGTAGCTATCCTTGTACTCTTTGATATCTTCTATATTAGCCGCATGTGCTTCCATTCGACACCGTCACTTACTTTACCATCTTCACCGCAGTTGTATTTTGGAGAGAACCTAAATTTGGTCAATACTTTAAGTAAGAGTCCTATTTGTCGGAAAATGTAGGGATGTCGGAATCGTCGCGATATGGCGGGTTTTCACGCACATTTGCGAAGCGTGGGGATTACACACCGACTGCCGTTGCTCCAGTTTTTGTGAGGGCAGATGATTCTCCGGTTTGAAATCGTCACCTCGGAGCGACGGCACAGCGAGATTTGTACACAGGTCCAAGCGAATGCGATACATTACAGTGCGTGGATGTCTCCTCAAACGTTGAACAGCTCAGGTGTTTACAAAATGGTTGATGAACGGGTCGGTTACAGTACCTACAGTGCAGCTGGGTGCAGTACGTGCAGAGATACCTTTTAGTTTGATGCTGTTCACTCTCGTTGATAACATGTTCGATGGGGAGGACTGGATTAATTTAAAATCCTATTAAGTTATTAGTAAAATAGCTTCGGAAATCTGCAGCCGTCGATCATTGCTGTGTAAGGTGCATCGAGGATTCGAGCTTTACGTTGCGTCTGCGGCATGCATGAGATTAATGTCACAGTATTTGGTTTTCACGGTGCAGAACGCGAAAGCTGCAAATAGAAAACAAAAGAAGCAAACTATTTTACACTGTTAATTTGTGCTCAGTAAGACTGAGTTTGCTTTGAGTGAACCGGTACATTTGCAGCTTGAAAGTGGCCGATCTGCCTCACCTCCGCTCTTTCCTCCGTCTGGTGCGAAAGAACGCATTTGTGAACAGTAACATTTCCTCTTGCAGGTTAGTGATTATTTTGCCCGATTGGGAAAGAAAGGGGGTAGTTTTGCGTTTACCGTACAGTACTTCAGTACGAGCGATGACTCGAAGCTTACAATCGAATCTCTCAGTAAAGACTCATAAACTCATGAATGAATTATGATCACCTGTGGAGCGCAACCCAGTCCTCGAGATGCACAGCAATAATTTACGTAGCGTGAGGCATCGGGAGCATCATTTGTGCAAAATCAGCGCTCGGTGCAAAGTACATGTACAGTCTTGTGAAGGGTATTACGATTTCGTTGCGGAAGAACGGCAGCGTTCTTCGCCAATACACGCCCCCAGTAGAGTTATACGGTACAACCACCACTACGCGATGGGCGTTATTGACACGGTTCAAAGAGGATGAGACGCTGGCGATCAAGTGCCACGACTGTCACCTCTCGTGCACCTCGTACCTATCGATAACCCGACTGAGCGCCGAGCCCATGGATCTCTGTTAATCTACTACTTAGGGGAGAGCAAACGTACAAGATCAATCAATTTGCTTCGTCGTTCGGTATTCAATGTCTACGACGTGGCATGCACGAACGGCGCTGTCAGCTCGGACAACTTCAGCTTCTGCTGACCATTCTCGTCGAAGTTGCTCGGCTCGAGCCAACGCTCGTACGCCTCCTTCAGACCAGCGTTCCAATCTTGATCGATGATGGAGAACCACGTCGTGTCGCGGTTGCGGCCTTTGTAGACGACCGCTTGACGGAACAGCCCTTCGAACGTGAAGCCGTATCGCGTTGCAGCATAGCGCGAGGGCAGGTTGCAGCTGTCACACTTCCACTCGTAGCGACGATACCCGAGCTTGAAGGCATTCGCAGCGAGGAGATACAACGCCTCGGCAGCGGCGCGGGTCCGTTGCAGTCGTGAAGTGTAGAACACACGGCCAACTTCGATCACACCTTCATCGGGGTTGATGCGCATGTACGCGGTCATTCCGACGGCGTGGCCGTCCACCACGATAGCGTATATCTGCGAGTCGCGAACCTTCTCGGTGCTGAGGCAGTACTCCTCGAACTCGTTGAAGGTCGTGAATGGCAGGTCCAGTTGGCGCCCTTGGGGTCGTCCTGCTGAGCGTCCCAGAAGTCCCGAGCGTGGCGAGCCGCTGTCAATGGCTCGAGCTGGCAGTAGCGTCAAACCAGCGCCGAATAGGGCGGGAACGGTGGGGGCGTCTAGTCCTTCAGCGGAAACCCAACCGGTTGGCCGAACTCGTTGACAGCAAGTCGATTCCGACATCTACATGTACATTCGATTGCGGTGAGTGTCAACTTACGGAGCAGAGCGCTTTGACGTACGAGAGCTGGTTGGTGGTGTGTTTGGTACGGCAGAAAATGTCGAGTGGCGACCACTGCTCGTGTTTGTAGAAGCTTTTAGCGTACGCCGTCAGGATATTTATCAAAACCCCAAACAAACAGGTCAGCATTTATCAAAACCCACACAATAAGGATAAGGTGCATTCATTGGCTAAAACACTTCATTCAGGTTGTGCTGAGGCAGGCATCCTGTGTGTGACAGAGTGCTACGTCCTGCCGGTGCTGCGTCCTGTGAGTGCTGAAGTGTAGCGCCCTGTGTGTTGCGAGCGCTGCGTCCATCGAGTGCTGGAGAGCTGGACGGCTGTATCCCGTGAGTGGTGGAGTGCAGCGTCATACAAGAGCAGAACGGCAGCGTCCTGTGAGTGGTGGAGAGCAGCGACGTGCGAGTGGTGGTATGCAGCATCCTGCGAGAGATGAAGTGCAGTGCCTGTGCATCGTAGAGTGCAGCGTCTTGCGAGTGGTGCAACGTCCTGTGAGTGGTGGAGTGCAGCGTCCGGAGCGTCCACTGTGACACAAGCGCCGCTTCATGTGTGCGTGCGAGTGCTGCGTCCTGTGGATGACCATATACAGTCTTGTGTGTGTGTGTGCCAAAGTTATATTATCGCTGACCGTGCAGCAGTATCAGCACCCGTAGCGATCCTACCGCAACGAGATGAAGGCGCCACTGTCCCGAGACTTTGAGGAACACGTCGAGTGCACTGGATGACGGCCTACAGAAGCACCGCGTGGTGGTGAAGGCAGAGAGGTAACGATGGTTCGCTATGCACAATTACTAACTGTTGCTGTTTGGCTTGCTTTCGTTGTCACATGATACAATTGCAGTGCGATCGAATAAAAGGAGAAGCGAAGAGAAATTGTCAATGCTATGCAATAGATTTTCGCGTCAATAATACAAACGTGTACAGACAACGACGGAAAAATCCGGCGTGACTGACTGCCATCCTGCATAGTTAAGGAGTGTAACACAAAATACGGCACAGATAAAAAAGAAAAACATGATTGGCTAAAAGGTTGCGTAACTGTTCAAAAACAAAGCACAAATCCGAATGTTCTGCAAAAAAGCTGCATTTTATTCAAATGCTAATCTCAGGATACTGAGGAATAGCTGCCTTGAAGCTCCTAATTACAGTGCTTTCGGGGATGGCATCCCAAGCAGCAATCGTAGCGCGAACGGCACGGAGCCGCTTTTCCTTAGCACTGCCACCCGTGATGCCAGACCAGTTCGAGCGCAACTTTGCCTTTAGTGGCCCCATTACACCGACATCCAGCGGCTGCCAAGCAGCCGTGCTGTTTGCGGGTAGAGGGACCACAGTAGCATTAGCAGCTTCGGCAACGACCCGCTGCCCCTCTTCCGACACATGACACTCAAAGTTGTCAAGAAGGAGGACAGCGGGTCCATCAACTTCATCTTTAAACAACTTTTATACGTAAAAACATCACGGAACAGCGTCCATCCAAGCGTTCTCTTGGACGGTGTAGAAGTGTCCTTCCAGATACTCTTCGAACTCGCTTGTGTCGATTCGACCGCCCAGCTTGCCACGCAGAACAAACAGAATCGGCAGCTTTTTCCCTAAAAATAGTATAAGAAATACAAATTGGCCTTAAAAAATAAAAATTAAGAGAACAACAAAAAGGAAAACTTACCATCAGCTCGAATCGTGAGCACACCCGTCATGCGGCCGGTGTGCTTGGACGTGTTCGCAATCCTCGCAGCGTCCCGCCGACCTCTACCCGCCCCCATCCGAGCCGGAGGCATGTCAAAATTGATGGCAGTCTCGTCCACGTTGTACATGCCCTTCGGCCCGTACGCGGCGTGCGTCTTCCAGAAGTCCAGCGCGAACTCGGCGCGCGTTTGCTCTAGCTCCTCGGTGCTTTTCCTTGCCGTTTGTGGCTTCTGGGAGGTAAAACCATGCCTAAACACGCAAATAAAGGTAAATGTCGGAAAACTCATTGAATTTTAGCAAAAACAAAATTATTTACCGAATTGCGAGTCTCTCGACCATGCGCTCAAGCGCCAGGATGCCGCTCCGCTTCCTTTGCAGGTAGTCCTCGACCCACTCGGTCTCGATTGCCCACATGAAGGACATAATGCCACCCGTAGTGAGGGCCTGTACATTATAGCATGAAGTTTAACGGGTAAACGCTACAAATTATGAGATTCTAAAAAAGAACTTACCTTCTCTTCGCGCCGCACATCCTTCATGAAAGTGACGACCGCAGGAATGTCGGGAAATACTTCCCTGCGGCCCTGGCCCTTCAGGGACTTAGACTCAACTTTATAAATTTTTTCAAAACTGTGGCCAGTGAAGCTAAAAAGCTTTTCAGCTTGCTTCCACCAGCGATGGACAGTGCCCCGAACAAGTTGGAGCTCGCGGGCTGCCTCCTCCACCCCCACATCTTCGACGAGGCGGACCGCTTCGCGCTTCTCGCGGACCGTGTAGCTCTTTTGCTCCTTCTTGGGCGGTGGCGTGTCCTCCATGGCTCGAAAAACAGTTTGAGCGGCTCAGTCGACCAGCTCCAAATTAGGCAATGGCACACGGGATTTACCAGAGCCATTCAAAAATTAAATCGCGGTGATTGGCTTATTTTTATGAATAAAATAAAATTGATTGGACAAATCATCGCTTGTTTTGTATGGACATGTCTATGGAATGCCGGGTTTTGCGTTGCCGGATTTTTCCGTCGTTGTCTGTAGACCACATGTACAGTACAGATACCGCCCACAAAGTGAAAAGGGTGGACCTTCCAAGCTCTCAAAGGGAATGCGATGAGTGCAAGAAATCGGGCATTAATGATCTCAATAATTAAATCAAGATAAACATGCAGAAAGTACGGTAACCTCCGTTACGAGATGTGCAAAAATGACCGAATTGGGAAGGGTATCCGCTATAAGTGCATTTCAGTTTGTGGGCGGTATCTGTATACCAAACCCCTTGTTAAGGAGTTATCGATTCCATAGACATGTCCATACAAAGAAGCGATGATTTTGTCCAATCAAATTTATTTTATTCATAAAAATAAGCCAATCACCGCGATTTAATTTTTGAATGGCTCTGGTAAATCCCCGTGTGCCATTGCCAACAGTGCTCTAACCTCGTTCCCTCCCTAGGAACGAGCGTTCAATATGACCCTTTTCGTACTTAGTAGGATACATGATTAGCCAATCAGAAGCCAGAATTCGAAAACTGGACGCTAGCAGTTCCGAAAATAATAGCGGTTTTTATATTGTGGTTTTCAAATATTTTGCCGCCCGATTTGACGTGTTATCTCGGAGTCCGATTTATATAAAAGGGAGCTCCTACATGATCGGTTAGTCCAATTTAGCTATATCTGACCTGACTTAGTTCATAGGGGAGGCATTCCAAGTTGGTCATACCTCCTCACCTCTCATGACGCATTAGAACTGCAAGACATTGGGGACAATAGTACACTGTATGTAGCCACTTCGTAGCACTATGGTCAGCTAAATCACCTGTGTGATCACTACGGCCGCTACAACCTCGATCTGAGAGGGCCCCAGACATGTTTTCGCGGCGGTCCCTTTTGCCGGCGAAAAGCGGCATTTCTGGCCCCTGCTTCGCAACTCGCAGCCTCCAGACGCAAATCGGGTCAGATATAGTTTGCTTCCCTCACCCCTCTTGCTAAATCGGAGCCCTCCAGCAAATCGGGCCCGACAAATCGGATCTTGGACCACCCGATTTGCCAAAACGAATGAAAGCCACAATAATAGAAATATTGTCTTTGTCTTGAAAAACTGTAGTATCCAGATTTTTTCGTCTTGGTGGGCGCATGTCTTAAATGTATGATGTGTGCCTCAAAAGCCACACAATTTGTGGCTTTTCATGCAGAATGATACGGGGCTTCATTGCGTCCTTCTATTACGCGGTATCCCTAAAGCTGCTTTTTGTTTAAATATACGCAAGAAAATACGTATGTTGATGCGCACGTGCACTTCATCGCCGCCTTCTTGAGTATTTTTCTTAAACGATTCGAAGTTGTACCTTTTGGGGTACTACCACCAACCAACATATGTCTTATCTGCTGCCTCTGGTGTACTCCGCAAACATGTTAGTGATTTTTACAACACACTAACTTACAATAAGTGCTGTTTGCAAACGCGTATGTATTTTTGCTGCTCTATCACTAGCGTATCAAATTAACGGCTTCTCAAGAGGACTGCTACCTATTGGCGAGGGGTCTTCCTTACTTTTGAGTACATTTCGCGGACTTTCGAGTAATGAATTTTGTCCCCGGACTTCCGAGTACGTAAACTTCATTTAATCTCGTCCGCTGCGTCAACTTGAAACTGTTGACTCCAATCTAAAGACGTTGCTTGTTGGAATGCCATTCACGAGCGCAAATAACGTGCTACAAACGCTCAAGGGCAACTTTTCTTTTGTTTTCTGCTTGATGACACTTGGATTCTCTATTAGTTTACTCACGTCCGCATAAGTGGATCGGTACGTTACTTCCTGATATACATTCGCACTGTATCTTCCTTCGGTCTGGTCCAAGGTGGCGATGCCGGACGTGGCATCTTTCCTAAGTCATAATATGTGGAATTACTCAGAAGTCAATGAAGCGTACCCACAATTAAGTAGCACCCCGTTGTCGAGTCCACATTTCATGTACGCACCACGGCGTAGCAAGAGTAATATATATAGTGCTGCTTAGCTTGAAGAGATTATGGTTGGTGTAAAAAAGATGACCTTCGCGTGCAAGTCAGCTTCCGACAAAAGTCAACTCTTTTTAGCTCAAGATAAAATAGTTATAAAAAAATTGTCTAACTCCACAAACATGTAAGCCAGATTTGCAACACACTGACAAACAGTTTGCAAACGCTTGTGTTAGTGTAGTAGGTTTCGGAACACTACGAGGGAAGCTGGCGCTTCCGGGCAAACCAAAGCTCTGTTGATGGTTTAGATGTAAATCTCAAAGTGATCTCTATCTGTGTCTCTGCTCCTAGCTGTCGGCGGCTTCATGCCGGCGACTCCTGCTAGCGCCTTCTGCCAGCGTCTTCTACCAAACTGACCTCTCTGTTGGTCGCATTGGTTTCGCTGTTCTCCCCTATCCTAATGCCAGCTTGGTGGTGTCGTTCTGTAGACGTCACCCGATGAGTGGGCTGGGCTTGCTTCTATGAAACCCGCCACTACAGTTAGCTATACAGTTAGTGTTTGTGCGAACACTAGCTACCTCCAGTCAATTCACGCCGTGCACATGTAGTAGTAGTAGTATTGAATCAGAGCTGCATCTTTCGCTACTACAGAATGCTACTGTGCCTCGTTTTAGCATATTTACTTTGAAGTGTCTAGCAAATTTACATGAAATAGACAGCGTATTGGGCTTTGCATCCAGTCTGGCCTCCTATTTAGTGCACTACTTAGTGTTCGTACTTGACGGTAAATCATACATGTAGTGGCCTTGAATGCGAGTTGCTCAAGTCGTGTTTCGAACGGTTTGGCTCGGAAATGGCACTTTCTAAAGGTGCCAAAAGGATGCTAATCCGTACTGGATGTGCTAAATCATGCAGAAGATGGTGTTTGTGCACTACTTAGTGCTCATTGACCATCCACGGCTTACAACAATTCGTACTCGAGTACGATTTATAGATAAGTCGTGCTTGATAAGTCGTACGAGTTACAGTCCGAAGTGCCAAAAAGTATGCAAAGCAGAATATATAGTACTTTAATTAATATTTCCACTATACTTGGGACTGCACCTTTCTGCCGTGAGCTGTTTGGGTGGTGCGTGGAGTGAATGAAGCACAAGATGGAGCCGACAGCATTACAACATTTCTACAGCGGCCGATGAACCAGCAATGACTATTGGCTGTTCGACTTACACTCCGAGGTATCTTCCTCAGTACTCTCAGCAGTATAGTCCCGCCAGTTTCGGATATTGGGGTGCTGGTAAGAAAATCGTTTACAAAAAGTCCGCGAAAAGACACTTCGAGTCGGTAATCCAGAGAGAAGATAGTCCGCAGCACTTAACTACCACGTTGGAGAGCGAAGTGAAGACGTCATTATTCTAGTTAAACTTACCCCCGTTGTGTCGTGTGTGTGTGTGGGACGGATAGATAAACGCAGCGTGGCTACGCTGTATGTAAATATACCAGAATTTGAAAGTTCTGACTCAGCAATGTACGCCGGTTTCAAAAATAAAGATTTATCGTGTGGACAAACGGTAAACACTTAAAGAATCAACTAGCCTTTACCGCGTCTCGTTGAAACCACTTCGAAGTCCGCCGAGATACCCGTCCTGCACTAAATTTACAGAGAGTCCGATGTTTTTTTTCTATACGTATCATTGATTTCACGTTGAGCTTGAATTATTGAGGCTAAGACATCCAAAGCCGCGCAGCAGTAGCTTCGCCCAGGGGTAGCTTGTATAGACGGCACGAGGCCGCGGAGAAAATATGTATATGTTCGTTGGGGCCTCAAACTTACAGTTAAATGGACTAATAAAGCTGCTAAAAGCTGTACAAATTTTTGCTTAAAAATCATGATAGACAAGAAGACCAGGAACTTACGACGACCAATGCATACGTGATCGTCCTTAAGCAGGTTTAATCTGACCTCTTTTGTACTTTTTTAATTGCATGTACGTTGAAAATTGATTTAGTTCTTGGTTATCGCATATTGTTGGAACGTATATTCCTGCTGTTTCGACGCGAATCGAAAGCCATATCTACTGAGCGAATGAAGTGAGTTAGATAGTAAGATTTACGCATGGTATAGCTGAAAAAGCGAAATACGCTACTGTTGTTGCACCTGTGCTTGTGAAAGTATTAAAGCAGATAATATCATCATTGATGACCTTGATATATCACTGGAGAAATACCAGTCAGTTCAGCAACCAGCTTTAAACCGTCATCTCATTGGTTAAAAATGGAGTACCAGGTAATGTGTCACTTTGCTGCAGCACTTTGAGGTTGCTTTATGAGCAACGCGCTGTGAAATGAGCTGAATAACTCTTGTGCATGTAGTACTGACTGCGAGAACCTCTTTGTAATACACTAGCGTCGCTCTCGTAGGTGCAGTACCGACCGCGAGAACTGGTCACGGCCTTGTACTCCTTGAACGCCTTAACTTTCTTCGACAGAGCGGCAACAGCTCACGCGTGCAGGCAGTACTGCTGCGGGGTCCTTCCATACCGATTTTATGAGTCTGTAGCCGCGGGACGGCTTCCATTTCACGCAGATTGCTACTGTGCGGTAGATCTGGCGGGCTGGCTTTTATTTGTGTGAAGATGTCTGAAATGATGACACAGTTTACCTGCGTTCTCTCATCTCAGTGAGAGCTGGATAGAGTGTGCCTCTGATCCTACCTAGTAGCCGTAGATGAGGAAGTGGTAGAGGTAGCCTGCATGAAATCGTACGGGCTGTGCAGCAGCACCAGGAGGGTGTGGAGCTAGCTCTACCGGTAGCCCCGCCGCCATAACAGGCCTTCGGCTCCGACGTGACCTCCTACTACGTGCAGGTACGGCAGTATGAGCTGGTTCGACCAGCCATGGAAAGCTCCAGGCCGCCGTAGGCGGTGCCACAGCTTGCCACGGTGATAAACGCTTTGCAACCCTGCATAAACGAACTCACTTGTGTTTTGTATACTGTCTCCCATACGGCGTCGTTTTGCTACCGTGACTTGCAGTTTGTATATGAGTTGAGTTGCAAAACAAACTAATACTTACTACCGTGTGCGCAACCGAAGTTGCAAGCGATACCGTACCATTTGGCTACAGTACAAGCAACAATCCTGGTCGATACCATGCAGCTGGCCAATCAGAGGTGGCGATTTCTAGAAATACAACCTGGGTTGCAAATGGCCGATAATATTCGCGTACGTGTGTACACGCACATGTACTCGATTCATTGCGGCTTCGTGATAAATGACTTCAAAGCGATACTTCGAAGTATTTACGTGCAGTATGTTCGAGGCGGAATTTATCGGGAAGCTGTCGTTTAGTAGCAATTAAACTTGAGTAAAATCTGCCTCTTCGCCATGATACTAACGTAAATTCCCGAACAATACCCCTTACCCGTATAGTACCCTCTAAAACGTAACCCAATGTGTATCCCAGGGTTACAATGTTACTTCTATACAAAGATCAAGTACATTTTTATGAATTTATTGTGGAAAGCTTTTTTTATGAAATACTGTGTAATATCCAGAATTTAGCTTATTTGTTTTGAAAATGGGAGGGTACTAATAAATAGTACCCGGGATATTATTCGGTAGTTTCCGTTAGAACACTCCCACTAGTTGGAGCCAGCAGACAAATGGATGAAATGCAGCCAGCATTCCGTGGGGCAGCCGTACATGTTTCAATGCTAACTTAAAACACCAATTGAGTGCGCGATTTTGGGTCATTTCGGAATTTGCCTACGACAGCACAAGGATGGTTGAGTAGAAGCTATTCGGGTCATGGCGTATTACAGAATAAGGAACAATACCAGGAGCATATTCCTAACTGTAAGATAAACCGTCCTTGCAAAGCTATAGGTGAAAGTGTAGCGGCACAAGGAGCAATAAAAGCCAGTGATCATTTTAGTGCACGATCCATAATTAATCTTGGTTTCAGTATGGGCATGTACTTGTTGATAGCACAGGTGCCTGTTAAGACATGTATGTCTTTCTCGCCGCTTTGTGATTGTGATAAAGCACACTGACACCCTCCAGAGTCATTGTTGAATACTTGCCGCAAAACTTTTAGAGGCCCTTGTTGGAAGCTGTTCCATACTAAAACTGTCGCGCACAAATTTGATTATCGGCTTTTAGGCCAATCAAAACATCACAATGTCGAATAGATCGATTGCATTGGTTAATAATGCATATCGTGCAATAAATTGAAACCGTGCACTCAGTTGGTGTTTTAAGTTACTTTAAGTATTGTGTTATCGTATGCATGATTTTATCATTATCAATTTGCCTGTGAAAGTCTTACTTGCAAGTCGCTCCACATGTTGTAGTACTGCTCGAAGTACTCGTAGTTCGGTTGCCCACGCGCTGATGCGAACGAGCCCGTCAGTCCCAGTTCTGCGAAAACTTGAGGCGGAGAAAGATTGTCATCCAAATACTGGCGCAACCTCGACTTTATGATATTTTCTGCCGTCTCTGTCGGTAGAGTCGATGGCTGCCTGGCCGGATACTTGACGTAGTACTTGTAGAAGTACTTGGCGTAGTACTTGTAGTTCTTGTCGGTCTTGCTCGCAACCTTCAGCTTCTCGAGCACTTGCTCGGGTGTTTTACCTCGGAAAAGCCAGTACTTCATCTTGATCTTCATCTTGATAGCATTGTACAGCACCTTGAGGACGTCCTTCACCCCCATGCGCTCTTCTCCATCGACTATAGACGTTGTAGCCCGAGCGTTATCGCTCCCCGACCTCAGTAGTATCCTCTTGCCGAAGCTGGGGGAATTCTCAGCATAAGAGAGGGAGTGGGGGTTAGCGGAGGCCTGGAGTCTCCGAGAGCTTGTGGAGACAGCGCCACTGTACGCGAAAAGTGCTAGCGCGACCACCACGAGCAGCAAAAACCTCATTTGTCAAACTTCGTGAGAAGACTCGCGCGGTAGGCGCGAAATTGATAATGACAGTTTGGATGGTGCTCATCGAGTGGTTGTTACATCTCGCTGGGCCTTGAGGACTGTCATTGGCCGGCTCGATGCTGGACCTGCTGTTCGTGCGCGAAGATGTGCTTTGGAGCTGCCGAAATCACATGTGAAGACTTTCGTAACTAAGCGTGAGGAATCGAGTCTGAAAGAATCTGCAGCTTCTGTCGCTGGGGCGCTTGGCTGGGTCTCCCCCCGCATTGAATATTGAACGAATGGGCAGCCAGGATTTCTTTGTTTATCTTGTTGGCTAGTGGGTATGTACAGTATTACTTTGACTTTCATCTCAATGTAGTCGCTGTTCTCAACTTCTATGAAAACATGCGGACGAGATCAACAATTTCGGATGTTCGACCACCAATCTGGGCCGGGACGTTCAAGTACAAGTTGAATTGTGTCCACTGGAGCACGAACAGATTCGTTAGTTTCGTACCGGTACGGATGCAAGTCGAACACGGCAGTACACTCCCATCTCCCTGGGTAAATCTATCAGGCTTCTATAGGTCAGTTAATTAAGCTCAAATACATGTAGAAGGCCACTTACACACCATCTCCCCGGGCAAATCTGCAAGAAGTACAGTACAGCACTTCATGGGGCCCATGTACAGCAGTCCTGTAATACTACTAAGACCGTTGAGAAATGTTCATTTCGTTTTACCTAGCTAGACTTGTGCGCGGGCTGTGTTGTTGACAATGTTGGGCATGTACGATGAACGCCAGTGCTAATATCGTCGTCGGCATAGCCCTGCTACGCGTATGACATCATCTGCTGATCGTTTCGACGCAAACAGCACGCGCAAAGTCGTAAAGCAATGTGTACACGCGTCCGATAGTGAAAAAAATGCCTACCGGTATTGTAAGTTTTCTTTAAAAAATACCGAAGAGCATACGAACACACGTGAGGGGGTCAGGAAGACTTCTAGATCTGCATCTTCGTCCATGTGGACACGGCGGAAGCAACAACGGTCCAGGATGGCAGCACGTCGGAGAACTCCTTCATCTCAGGAGTCGTGACTTCGAGGAAGTGGCCGACGAAGGCCACGTCAATCGGCTTGTTGGACTCCGCCTCGATCCAGAAGTGGTAACTTGACGGAACGGTGCCGCTGCAGAACTGCAGAATGTACGCGTCCTCAGTCTCCGCCACTGGCCCGCTGACACCATTTCCCATCGACCTGCAAACGTTAACATCAATTAGTAGAGTGATTCTCATCACTGGCATGCCGGAAGATATGCATACACACACATTGCAGATACGCACCATGAAGTCAATTTGGTCTTCTTGGCATCAATGAAGAGGTTCATGTGAGATGGCCCCGTGAAGAATAAGTGGATCTTGCGCCGATCCGACTCCGCCGAATACGTTGACAACAGGACCTCCAGCCTGTCAGAAAAGGAAAACACCCATGAGGCCTACCGCAAGACACATATTGATACCAGAACAAGCAGTAAAAACTCACTTGGCTTTAGGGGCATCGCTCGGAATGGCGGGTGCAGCAGCCGGGAGGTACCAAGACTTGTCTTCAGGAAGCATGTGCTTCACTGGAAGAGACCACGGCATGTGACCGTACACTTCTGCCTGCTCGTGCAGCTCTTCAGGGGCAACTTGCATGCGGGCATCCCTCCATTGCGTGTTGGCTAGGTTGCTCTTGATAGGATCTGGTCCGCGGAAGTCAAGCGAGTTGATCCAAAGCCCCGAATCGGTCTGTACGTCTCCGTTGGGAAGCACAACTTCACGCTGAACGTGCTGAAGCATGATACGTTTCGGGCAAATATCAGAGTAAGGGTTGCTGCAACATATATGTAGCGAGTAAAGAGTTAGATCTTTTGAGAAACAATAGTTCCAGAATGTGCGTGCTTACCGGATCGATGCATACGCGGTTGAAGCCACGGTGAGAAGGATGAAAACATCCCGAACCCGTTTGAGCTGCTTCGCCGGAAGGAAGCAAAACACGCGACCTGAATACGAAACCATGATCTACAAAACCCACAGATTTCACGAAAAACAGTAAGCACCCGACTTCTAATAGTGATGTAGAAAGGATATCGCACCACTTACCACGAGGATGATGCACATCAAGAGCGAAAGCACCACGTCCGGGGGCACCACTGGCCCACTCCGCCCAAGTAACGGGATAAAGAACATCAGCGCGATCGCAAAGCAGCACATCGTATGGATCACGGGGATGATCATTGCGCCAAGCGAGATGCAGATGTACATGGTCGACGAGTAGATGCGGACTCGCTGTAATAGCTGGCACAGCACCTGCCCCACCAACGGGAAGAAGATCCACACTGCCAGAACGTAACTCGAGATCAGGCCCAGCTGCATGCAGATCGCCAACGCCCCCATCCAAATGCACATCATGGCCTCAAAGAGACTTTCTTCAAGGCGCCACAGCGCTTCGGGGGTCACTTTGCCGTCCTTCTTCTCCAGCACCGATGCCAGTTGATGCAGCATTCCTGCGAGCGCCGGCGAGAGGAAGAGCACGCCTGCCAGGTACGGCTGGGAGTACCACGGAAGAGGGGCATACAGACTCAGCAGGATAGCCACCGTCAATGACGAGGCAATTGCGGCGCCGAAGCATCGTGTAATCAGCACAAAGGCGGTCAACCGCTCCGAGAACGAAACATTGGAAAGCAGGAGGTAGATCACCGCCAGCAGAAGCACTCCACCACAGAGAACGAACGTCGTCTCCTTGCTCGCAGTCACCATCGTAAGGCCCATGACGTCCGAGAAGAACGTGTTAGAGCTCTGCGGGTTTTCCGACACTTTCTTCAAGCGCCCAGGCTCGTTGCCCAACTGGTTCACCACACCGATGACGTTCTCTCCCAGACGCTGCACTGCACCTTGCTGGATGCGAGACACGTCGTCCAGCTCCGTGTGGTAAACGTAGCCGTTAGCGATGTAGGCGAAGTCCATGCCAGCGACGTAGCCGAAGTCACGGTAGATCCGGTAGTCTGTATCCGCGGGGATAATGCCCGACTGGAACAACTCCTGTGCAATGATGCTTGCGTGTGGATACTTGGCTCCTTGAGCATAAGCGAGTGCGAGCTCGTCGCTGCCCGTCTGGAAGAGCAGCTCGCGGCCTCCAGCACCTGCCGCTTCCAGGTTGATGAAGGCTCGGATGGTGTCCGTCCACGGGTGCTGCGTGATGAACCCGTGCGCCGCCTGCATGATGGTCTCCTCGGCTCCGTTGAAGTTGAACACGAGCGTGGCGTGCTGGGGCGGGTGCAGCACGAACAGCCGCAGCAGCTCCACCATGATGGCGATGTTCACGCCGTCGTCCGACGCCGCCGCGCCGCCAATCGCCGCGTCGTAGTGGGACGAGATCATCAGCGAGTTGTTGAGCGCCTCGGGCGAGGCGTCGGGCGGCGAGACCTTGACGAGGATGTTGGTCACGTTGGCGTAGATGTTCTGGAACTGGGCGATAAAGTCCAGGCCGAAGGCCCCCGAGGGCCTTTGCACGTCCACCTCGACGCCTACCCCGTCAGCTTTGGTAGCCTTGATCTCTTCGATCTTCACAGTAAAAATAATACGTTAATATCAACAGAATATCACAGTAGCGAGCTCTATAGAGTCTCGTTCGTACCTGCTGCAGCAGGTACTTGGGCGTCAGCTCCTCGTTGGCTCGGGTGCCCACGGGGCGGTACCCGAAGCTCATGATCTGCTCCAGCACCACGCGCGCGCGGGCCTCCGAGAACTCGTCGGCGGGCGCGTCCTGCCCCTTGGGCGCCGGCAACCACGTGTGCCAGAAGGTCACGACCGCGAAGGCCGACGCGTAGAAGGCCGCGAAGCCCGCGAGCACGAGCCAGCCGCGCGGCAGCGACGCGTGGAAGCGGCGGCGAGGGCGCTTCTTGTCGTGCGGGCGGGTGGGCGAAGCTTTGGGGGCTGGAGAGGCTGCTGCGGGCGCTGCGCCCTGGCGGCGGAGACGCACCTCGCCCATGGTGGCAATGACCCAGCAAGTTCAGGAATGGTGATCTAAGGTGAAAAGGATTGGATTGGTGTACGCCACATGAAAGACGTGTTTTGGGGATTTATGTGCTTTTTAATCATTAAAGTGATGTATGTTACGGTTGGACAGTTAATGAGTTAGTGGATAAAGTTGTGGGATATAATTGTTTTAACGGGTCTGATGATGGCACGGTCGACAAATTGGGTACCATGATCTGTGACGTGTGTGCAAATGGATCCTGTTTTCGTTTCGTGAGCTCATGCTTATGGTAGAATATCATCAAATCTCCGACCGCACTTAAGATGATAGGTATACAAATCCCCAGTCAAGCGCGGTCGGAGCATAACAGTATTACCCTACCCCTTCCCAAAGTGTTATGCATACACAGTCCAAGATAGATTAGTCGTCCCGTTTGCTCATTGGTCGGAGCCTTGGGATGGATGGCACGGAGCGAGCGTAGCGAGCCCCCGTCTGCGGTTTGACAGTCCGTGTGCGTAGCACGCGGCTGCAAACCCAGGACCCAGCAGTGCTCTACCTAGCAAGCGGAGGCGACGCGTGCGAGCCGCAGCGGGCTTAGGGTTCTGGCCCAGCGAGCGCAGCGAGCCTTTAGGGGTTTTAGGTTCGCGCGTAGCGCGTAGCTGGGTGATAGTTAAAGGTGACCCCCCTCCTATCCGCATGTTTTGTGTACGAGTCGGAGAAAGTCGGAGGGTCGGAGGTTTTTGGGTATGGTTGAAAAGGGGCATGGCACCACCTAATTGCCAATCTGACGCAGGGGGATTGCTCGACCACATTCGATCACACTACGTGTACAAGTTGTAGCCTTGTTTACTGGGATCGCTGAAGCACATAGAGATTGGGTGCTGCGTAGATTCTGCTCGCATTAGGGAGTTGTATGTTTCGTTTCGATGTCGATTGAAGTTGCAACGTCGTTGTTTGATTTCCTTTTACTTATGAAGGGTGCTACGTGAGTACCCATTCAGCTTTTATTGGAAGTCGCAGAACTGGTCTCCTGGTCATCTACAGGTGCTGGTGGGAAGCCATAATTCGTCGCATTCATCACATCGCCGACTGGGCCGACGTGCGATCTCTGCAGCCGCGAAATCTAGATGTGCAGCTGAAAGCGCTCTTCTGTAACAGCGTTATCGCAAGGCTGACGAAAGCGTACTTCTCGGAAGATTGGAGTTGCAGCCAGAACGAAAATGTTGGACACGATGAGCTGGTCCAGCTCAGGGAGCGCCGGTTGAGTCTGCGACGACTTGTGCCTTTTGCTCTGCTGCGACTTTCCAAACGAAAGCACGCTCAGAAAAGCAGCCTTCATTTCCATGACTAACTTGGTTGATCGATTCGTCGGCTGGTGGTTATGCCTTTTGAAGTCGTCAGCGTATTCCTGCACGTCGGCCGCGACGACGTCGAGATACTCGATGCTTCTGTTAACCTCCAGCATTTGTAGAAGAGCTTGGACATGGTCGTCGAGATTGATCGCGTCGTACGCCATCGGAATGGCACCCCAACCAAGCGGTCGGTTCATCAACCGCACTCTCAGTCGACGCACGGACTTGGCCAACGGGTTGTTCTGGTCACTCAAGTCTGCTGACAGAGCGACAATATCATTCCAATGACAGCTTAGCGTAGGGAGTGGTTGACCACTCGTCTGAAACTCGCTGAAGTTGAGTCGTACGTCGGCAAAATATTCGCACAGAACAAGCTCCTCGAGCTTGGGACAGCTCTGAAGGATGGCATTTTCATCCACCGCTTCCCTCGGTCCGTCGATCGTCAAATCTTTCAACTGTGAACCAATGAGCCCCAAAAGGCGAGACAACCCGTTTGAAACTATAGGGATTTCACCAATGAAACCATCTTCGTCTTTGTCAAATCCAATCTTGAGAGAAGTCACGCCGCAATATTTGCTGGGTTTTTCCTTCATCTCTTGAAATATTAGATCAGTACGCTGGACTAAGCACCGACCAAAACCAGGAACAAGAACGTTGACCAGTTCGCTCACACCATCGTCGCTGAAGCATCGGACAGATCGCATCGCAAATGTCACCTCGATGGGAGAATCACGTGACGGTTGATCTCCGTCGTTCAACGCAGCGTAGATCTGCGCGGTATCCTTTAATGTTGCATCTCGTTCATCAATTGCACCGCGAGGGAGACCGCAGAGTTCTTCTTCGGGATGTTCAGACGCCAAAATCGACGCAACAGCCTCCATGTCGGCAGCACTTAGCGTCTCGACGAAGATGAATGCCACCGACTCAAGCGATGATCTTGTCCGTGCTCGCTTGGAGAATAAAGCGTACGCCAGCCATTTCCACCATTGGCGGCTCATATCAGTTTCCTCTGGATTCATATCCAAACGCAACGAGAGCTTTTTCGTTGTCTGGTTAACCGCCATCGCGGAGCACATTGCTTCCACGTCACGAGCATGGAGCCAAGAAGCGCATTCCAAATGAACTGTTCCGAGCTGTAGCGGTCTTAATCCTTCGTCACTATAGAAAATTCCCTCGCGGTACTTCGTATTCGCAAGCTCGTACGAGCGCCGGTTACTGTCAAACACTCGAGCCATCAACTTCCGAAAGAGCAGCGCTGAGATCGGTTCATCAGTTTCACCAACCCTCGGATCGCGGTCCACAGTCAGCCACAGCGCCAGTTGGGAGAACCAAACGTTCTCGCGCACCATAAGCTCCACTTCTTCCAGCACCATCTCAGTGATCGAGTGGTCATTAAAGTCCGCCATCAGAGGCTCCAGCACAAATGTGCATCGAATCGACCCTGCCTCCACCTCCTGCAAAGTTGAACTCCGCTCGTACTTCTCCCAGTGCAGTCGATATAGATCTTCGGCTCGCTGGATCCCCTCCAGCGGCTCAGGCGACATTTCTTTGGCTTGTTCAATGTGAAACCACAGTCGAACGGGAATTTCCACGTCGACGCCAGGTTTTCCAGGTTGGAGGGTTTTATCTAGGGCGGTGATCTGCTGCAGCGCTGTCTGGTAGTTCCGACTAGTGCGAGTCCGTTGCCGCAGTCCACAGAAATGGATCAGGTCGCCTTCCAGAGATAGCGGGAACGTCTTCGACCGGCCTTGTTGCTTCAGAATCACCAGGATGAAGCGAGCTGGGATATCCTCGAGAGGTAAATCTCCCTCTTCACCAGCCCCTAAATCCACGTGACAGTGATATTGCAGTAAATATTTCCACCCGGACTGGTCAACGTGCGCTACGGCCCCCAGCAGCGCCAGCGCCTCGCGCATTTTGTCGAAAGTTGCCATGAAGTCGGCGTAGTCTCGGAAGATCCAGTTGCCGACGAAGTCCATGTCGTATCGAGTGGGAAGCTGGACTTTGAGGCGACGCCGTGGGCTGTCCCACACTTCCTCGTCGTACACGGGCCATTCGTAGCTGATCCGGCCCTTCAGCACCCGGCACCAGGTCGCTAGGAAACCCCAGCGCTGCTCCAGAGCGTCTGGGGATGCCATTGGGCGCTGTGAGTTGAACTGACATTATTAGGATACGACCGAAATATTCGTTAATAGAACAGCTAAGAGGAATATGTAAGATGTCGAAGACAAACTACACCAGAAATTGTTCGCGTCGATGGGTAATGGTGTCAGCAGGAGGTTGAGAACGCGTACATTCTGCAGGCATCGATCCGTCAAGTTGCCAGCCTCTGGATCGAGACGGAATTCAACGGTTCGACCGATGTGGCTTTCGTCGGCTACTTCCTCCAAGTCACGACTCCTGAGAGATGAAAGAGTTTTCCGACATGCTGGATCATTGTTGCTTCTGCTGTGTCTACATGGACGGAAATGCAGATCTAGATGCCTCCCTAGTGCAGCGTACAAAAGCTGTTAACACCTTGCTATAGCTGTTCGAGTTTTGATTCGATCAACCGTAGTCTCCTCTTCACCACTTCTTACGATCTCGCCGTGTCCTGTCCATCGTCGCTCAGCAGCATCATTTCATTGTTCCCTGCTGCAGCTTCCTCATCGCTTTCGTCACTCTCCACCAGCTCATCCGGGTTCACTACGAACTCGTGGTCTCTAGAGCTGAGCATGTGGTCGTTCGAGCTCTGCGTGTCGTCGCTAGGCCCACGCTCTGTGTGACGAGACGGCAGTCGCATCGATGTTGCACCGTTGACGCCGTTAGCTGCTTGGTTTACATCTGAATAGCTGCTCTCGGGCGCTCGCTGTCCCAGCATGCCGGCGTGACCCGTGAGACCATGTTCGTCGTCCTCGTCCGAAGACTCGTCGTCCTCCGACAGCGCCATCTTCTTGGGCGTGTACTCGTGGCGGAACTTGAGGAACCCCTCCTTGGTCAGCTCCAGCTCCTCGCCTCCATCGCATTCACTGCAGACAAGGGATAGAGATACTGTTAGTGACAATAAGACATCCAATCTACTGGAGTATTGCACGCACATTGCGTTGCCGTAGGTCTCCAGGAACCTCTCCGTGTCCTCTACCGACAGCGTGGACTGGACGCTGGCGAGGAAGAGCCGCAGCTCCTGCATGCTCACGCGCCCTCGACGGTACGAGTCCAGCAGCTTCCACTCGTCCTCGAGCACCTTTTCATTGCGCAGCTTCCTCTCCGTCTCGCCCGCGTCTGACAGCGGCGTCTCGGGCGGAGCTGGCGCCTCTCCTTCGACAATTGGCTCAGCTCCCGCCTCGGTCACCTCCACTTCAGGAGCTTCAGCTTCAATTGCAGCAGCAGGAGCTGGAGCCCGCACGTGGCTGTCCACGATCTTGATGAACTCTACGCAACACCCGGCATAAGCACAAGCCAAAAACACGCACGTATGTTGACCCCTTACCGTTGAGGTAGACTTCTCCAAGCTCTCGCACTTGCGCAGTGTTGACGTCGAGCCCGAGCTGGTATGATACGTATATAGCAGCACCAAAAAACGTCAATGCAAGACCCCCGAGCTCGGCTCCCAAGGCGTTCGCCATTCAACCAGCGCGAACATCCGGCAGGCCTGGTCCGCTGAGACGGCACCGTCGCCATCTGTGTCGAAGTAGCGGAAGATCTACTCGCGTTTGTTAGCTGCTGCACTAGAGCACTGTTGGTTGGCGCTCCTTACCACGCGCAGGTCGGCGAGGTCGACGTCCCCCAGGCGCTCCACGCGCGAGTCGAACGAGGCCTGGAACGACGCCTGCACGATATCCATCGCTCCCGATTGTTCACCCAAAGCGTCGCCCCGCCCGTTGAGGAATTTCGGGTCACGTGGCAGTGAACTTGACTTGAGCCTCCTTCGCATCCCCTTCCGACGTCGCGCGTGACGATCGCCGTCTCCTCTCACCTGCGCCGACCCGGCGGCGAGCTCAAATGGCCCGTCGCCAAGCACCAGCAGCACTTCGCCATCCATCCCGACCTGGAGCATCATCGCGTCGCGGCACCGCAGAGTCTGCGACGCAGACGTTAAACGCCAAACGAAGCGTTATCAGCAAGTTGCATTTGGCTGCCCATTTCTGCAGCCCGCAAGCGAGGCCTCTTCCAGGGGCCAGGAATCACTGGTACCATGTAGTGGTGTGATCATTTCAATACGGACGACGTTTTCGTGGCGCTTGAGGTCGTGTCGAAATGATGTGATCACATGTCCAGATGGCGCGAGTTTCAGCTGCTGATCTTCGCGCCTGATCTCTGATTGGCGAACAACTTCAAGGTCTCTGAGCAGAAACGGGACGGCGAGTCGAGGTCACAGCTTTTCGAACAACACTGGTTAGTGCATTTACAATGCGCCTTACGAAGGAGTGCATTAGCTGCGTAGGTACTGAAGCTGCATCTTGGCTAGCAATTCCATGCTGGCATGGCCCCAGCAAACCCGATTGCGCTTAGAGTGGTACCGCACCTCGGAGATGAGCTGATACGAAGGAGATGGGCGGCGTGGTAGAGACAAATGGCTGCACTTCGAGTTGAAGCTCTTTAGCTTTAGGCAGCTCGGAGAATTTTGCAGGCCCTGCAGCGACCAAGCTTGCCCGGGCTGGAACCCAGGTTTCAAGCACAATAGAGTCTTCGAGCGCTGCCAGCAGCAAGCCGAGCTCACTCGAAGACAGACCAGCTGGGGGTCTGGCGACGCCATATGCGCAAGCCGAGTCATGGTGGCACTGTGTATGTTGGCGGCGACCGCCGCGCCTGTACTCAGTATATGTACTGGCAGTACAGTGTTCTGTACCAGCCCAGCAATCGATCGTTGCCGCTGCCAGTGGTGCCCGAGCATCTTCATTGCAGAGGCCCAACAACCCACGAGAAAGCTGAGCAAGTCGAGCGCATCAGAAACGGCGAGACTCGAATGCCCCTGTGTATCATTATGCGCGGGTTTAATACTTCAATTGAGCAAAATTTGAAGGGCTCACTGCACGTCCAGCGTTGGCATCCTGGCATCCGATTGCACCTTGAGCACTGCTGACAAGGACACACACAGAGCACCGACAACACGCTGCTTTCCGGCGTGTTGGTGCCGATATATGGTCGGTGATGAGAAACAAACGCTAATTTTGGGGCGCTCATCTTGCTCAACTTCAGAAGTCGCATCACCTGGCGGTCGACATGACATTTGAAGCCCATGTCAGCGAGCACAACAACACCCGGCAGTCTCGCGCATGGCCAGCATATCAAGCGCCTACTGCTGGCAGCATTATCCTTCGTGCCAGCAGGATGGCAAATTGTTGCCCTGTTGGGGTGCTTTTCAAGCAGAACAAAAGGGGGATGCGCCTCGAACAGCTGCACCGGGGCCGGCATACTGGGCCCAAGTGACCTGCACCCCCGGGGCAACACTTGTTTCTCTATGGGCTTTTGACCTTCACCTCACTTCGCGATTTCCGCCATGCTCATCATGCACCTGGACGAGCACGAGAGCCCCTCGGCGTCGGCGCTGCCGGCGCTCGTCAAGCGTGAGGACCCGCGCGCGCTCGTGTGGCAGCAAGAGCCGCCCGCCCACTACGCGTCGCCTCCTCCTCCTCCGGCCGAGGAGCCCGAGCCCGCGCCGACCAAGAAGAAGAAAAGCGCCAGCAAGGGCGTGTTCGTGTGCACCGAGGTCCACTGCGGCAAGCAGTTCCCGCGCTCCTTTGCGCTGCGGCGCCACATGCGCATCCACACGGGCACCAAGCCCTACGCGTGCGACTACGAGGGCTGCACGCAGCGCTTCAACACGTCGGGCAACCTGAGCCGCCACAAGCGCATCCACAGCGGCGAGCGGCCGTACCCGTGCATCTTCGCCAGCTGCGGCAAGCGCTTCAACACGAGCACCAAGCTCAAGCGCCACATGCGCGTCCACTTCCCGGAGGGCCAGAACGTCTTCCGCTGCGTCAGCCAGGTCGGCTGCAACTGGAGCTGCGACAACTACAAGGAGTTCGCGCAGCACCAGAAGCTGCACCACAACGTCATCGTCGGCGCGCAGGACCACGTCTTCGTGCATCACCACCAGGATGAGCAGCACCACGACCAGCACCACCAGCACCAGCACCACCATCACGCGGCTGTGTCCTCCGTGGAGCTCTCGACCGAGAAGGACAACGACTACTTCTCCACGGCGGACTCGACGCGCGAGTACTCGACCTCGACCGAGCACGTCCCGTACGGCAACCACCACGTCTCAGTGTCCACCGCCCCGCCCGCCAGCTTCCTGTACCCGAGCAGCTTCGACAAGCCCAAGAGCAGCGTGCTGGTCCCGCCGCCGCCCGCCAAGTTCGACACCAAGTTCGACACGAGCCGCAACAAGCTCATGGGGCCCTCGCCCTTCTTCGGCGCCAGCGACCTCAGCAGCAGCCTCCCGACTATGTTGCCCAAAGATCAGGGCAAAAAGCCGTCGTCGTCGGATCTGGATCATCTGTACGGGTCGGACCAACGCCGGAATGTCGCCATGAAGCCCAGCGCCAGCGCCTTCCCGTCTGCGCAGTACTCGTCCTCGGCGGGGAGCTCCTTCTCGCTCAGCTCGGACAGCGCGTTCAGCCGCTCCAGCTTCTCCAATAGCAGCAGCAGTAGCCACTTTGCGCCGCTGCGACCCGAGGAGGACCGCGGAGACGGCGGCTACGAGCAGCCAACGCAGCAACAGCATCAGATGCTGCCACCTCCGAGCCATCACGTGCTTCGGCCGCCGCCGCAAAGTAGCGAAGATGCCAAGTACGGCGGATTTGCAGTGCCGCCGCCTATGAACCCGGCGGCGCCCGAGTTCACGGGCGAAGAGCTCAACGTGGTGCTGCAGCTCATGAACGAGAATTACTGAACAGAGCGGGTCACAAGCTGTTTATAGGAGCGAGCTGGCCAAGTGGAGAGCGGCTCGCGGGGGTGGGCGGAGAGGAGACGTGGTGGCTGTAGTTATTGTGAGATTTGTCCTTTAGTACTTTTGAGGAGGTGGAAGTGGAGGAGCGGGGCTTGTAGATAGCGGTAGCTTGGGGAGGTGCGTCTTACTGCTTGTCTGCAACGTGATAAGTCGGTAAGATCGCGTCCGTCGCACCTTGTTGTATTCATCTCGAGCTGGCATGAACGAGTTCATGCCGTCGTCGTTCCACGCTTATTTATCGTTGGGAAATGAAGAGAACGAGAACGACGAAGAGGTAGAAGGGGGGTATTACATGTACTTACAACTTGGGTCGCCTACCGTGGCAATACATAGATTCAGCAGCGTACGTGGTCCTGACGCTTTTAGGGCCATGCACTTTGGCCGGCGCAGCACGTGGATGGAGCGATCAGTTCGATAGTTACAGCTCCCATACAGTCTCCTCGTCTTCTTCTTCCGGCTCGTAGATAAACTTCTCCTTGGGGCGGTTGGCGCTAATGTACTTGTCTTTGTCGAGGCTGCTGGCCGAGCGCACGGAACGCATGGCGCTGGTCTCCTTGGCTACCTCCCGCTTGAGGTTGTGGCTGCTGCTAGTGAAGCCGGCGCGCTGCAGTCGGTCCTTCCGGCTCGTGGACGAGCGCTCGGGCGAGGGCTCGCGTCTCGGCTCTCTGCTGCTGCGTTTGGAGCTCGACGGGGGTCGCGCGTCCGAGCGTCGGTGCAGGTGATGCCTGGAGCTGGAGGTGGAAGGTCTCGTGGGGGCACTGAGAGGCGGCAGCGCCTCGCTGCGCTTGCGGTGCTGCTCGGGCGGCTGCAGCAGCGACAGCCGCGCGCCCGCGGACGAGCGGTGCATCTTGCGCAGCGCGTTCCACAGCGGGCGCGTCTCGGACGCGTCAAGCGTCTCTTGTCTGCAGCAAGCAACATTTACCCGCAGAGAGCGAGAGAGGTCATTAGCGCGTTGTACTGCACTGGCGAATACGCTGGCAGTGGACGAGCAGGCAGACGTACGAGGCGGCGGTGTGCAGCGGACGAGCGTCGCCCTCGAGCTCCTGGAAGCACACGCAGCGCGACATGAGCTTGCGGCAGGTCTGGCACTTGCCGTCCCAGTTGAGCGGCGAGCTGGAGAGCGAGGACTCGGAGGGCTGCGGCATGCTTGCTCAATAGCGTTCGTCCTGCAGCGGATAAATTCCCAACTGCAGCACCGACGAGCCGGCGCGCCATGGGCCACATAAGCGAGGCGGCGACGTCGTGACGGACTGATCTACAGCATAACCTGGTAAGGTGCATGTTGTTTCGAATGATTTTCGACATTAAATGGATCAGGCTAAAGAATGATACCGGTGAAACGCATCGAATTCCTCGCCGCCAGATGGCATCTTGCACTGCACAATTGATCGATCTCGCTGCGCTCGCCAGGCAACAGCACAGCATCTCGATGGGGCCCGGGAAGAACCCAGCGGCCAATTCGACTCTATACAACACCATCGCGGAGGAAGGCTAGTTGGCGAGGTGGCTTCATGCCATGGAAGGCACAGCCAGCATCTCAAGAGCTCCTGGTCCAAGAAGCGGAAGCCGAGCAGGAGCCAGCTCAGCTCGAAGCGTGCTCATTTCATGCGCACGGCACGGTCGCCGTTCGGAGGGATCGTCTGGCTGGACGTGCGGTGCCGACTTGAGGTAGTCGGTCGGCGCCCGTTTTGAGGTCTGCAACGTGTCGTCGGACAAGTGGCGAGTGGATGCCGTGGGCTTCGACGCTCGGGCTCAGCGGCGACCAGGCCTATCAATTCGACAGGCCCACCGAACACAGCATCACGAGGCACTTGTGGCGGATTCGACACAGCTACCGCTGACTCGGCCACACAGAGTCAGGCTTCGACGTCTCGAAGGAGCTTGGATAGGATCGCGCTGTCCAGCGTCTCTGAGTCAACGGCTCAAGCATTCGCGGTCTACCGAGTCGGTAGTACCGACTGTCCCGAGGAAATACTGCACCCGGCTGTGTCTGATCGACGCTGCAGGCGCGCTCTGCACTGCCGCTCCTCGCGTCCAACGTCTGCCTATCCAGCTCAAGCTATGAGAGCTCGAGCCACAATAGCAAACCAATGCACTCGATGCATAATTTTTCAGTGCGCATTGTACGCGTCCTCGGTGTGTCTACCTATAAGCAGAAAGTGTACATGTACCGACTCCCGTGGTACAAAAAGTTGCCAGCGTTGAAGTTGCCACTAAGTCCAGCAACCAAAACCAAGAGCAGGTCGGGTTATCCATCTCTTATCTGCTCTCCAACTGTGCGAAACCTCCTCCGCCCTTCAGAACCCAAAAGCCAAGTGAGCCCAAGGAGGGACCCGCCAGCCATGAGCGGCTCCTTCGGCTTCAGCGCGTACGACGACTTCCTGCAGACGCAGCCGTCGGCGGCCTCGCAGGCCTCGCAGAGCTTCCCGCTCACGCAGGCGTCGCAGTCGCAGTCGCAGCCCGCGACGGCGTCGCCCTACGCCTTCGTGGACCCGTCCGAGCCGAGCGAGCAGGGCGCCGACGCCTTTTACGACCAATACCAGGCCAGCTCGACGTCCTTTTTCGACCAATCAAGCGTCGCGGATGACGTGGCCAGCAGCACCTTCCAGAGCCAGCTGGACGACGGTGCCGGCAGCCTCGCGGGGGACTTCCAGAGCCTCGCGTTCGACGAGGCCGCGGACGAGGACGCGCTCGACTACACGGCGCGCGAGCTGCCGCCCCACGCGTGCGCGTACTGCGGGCTGCACGACCCGGCGTCCGTGGTCAAGTGCGTGGCCAGCGACAAGTGGTTCTGCAACTCGCGCGGCAACACGAGCGGCTCGCACATCATCCAGCACCTGGTGCGCAGCAAGAACAAGGAGGTGTCGCTGCACCCGGAGTCCCCTCTGGGCGAGACCGTGCTCGAGTGCTACAACTGCGGCTGCCGCAATGCCTTCCTGCTGGGCTTCATCCCGGCCAAGCAGGACTCGGTCGTCGTGCTGCTGTGCCGCGACCCGTGTCTGCAGATGAACGCGCTCAAGGACATGAGCTGGGACATGAGCCAGTGGCTGCCGATCATCGAGGACCGCAGCTTCCTGCCGTGGCTCGTCAAGGTGCCGTCCGAGCACGAGCAGCTGCGCGCGCGCCAGATCACGTCCAGCCAGATCGCCAAGCTCGAGGAGCTCTGGCGCGACAACCCGCTGGCCACCGTGGAGGACCTGGACCGGCCGGGCATCGACGATGAGCCCATCAAGGTCGCGGACACGTACGACGACGGCTACCAGTACCAGAACATCTTCGGCCCGCTGGTCAAGATGGAGTCGGACTACGACAAGAAGATGAAGGAGTCCCAGACGCAGGAGGGGGTCATGGTGCGCTGGGACACGGGCCTCAACAAGAAGCGCAACGCCATCTTCACGTGCTCGAGGCCGGACTCGGACCTGCGACTGGTGCCTGGAGACGAGATCCGACTGCGGCTCGGACCGAGTGCTAGCATGCTCTACGGCAAGGACTGGGAAGGCACGGGCCACGTGCTGAGGCTCGAAGAGTCCGAGGTCGCGCTCGAGATGCGCAGCAACAACGTGCCCATTGAGATCACGGACGGATACCTGGTGGACTTTGTGTGGAAGTCGACGTCTTTCGACCGTATGCAGGCTGCGATGAAGACTTTTGCCGTGGACGACACGTCGCTGACGGGATATCTGTACCACAAGATCCTGGGCCACGCTGTGGACGTGCAGCCGCTGCGTATCCCGCGTTCGGTTGGTACGCACTTCTCGGCGCCAGGGCTGCCTGAGCTCAACGGGCCGCAGATGGAAGCAGTGAAAGGCGTGCTGGAGCAGCCGCTTAGCTTGATCCAGGGACCTCCAGGAACGGGCAAGACCGTCACGTCGGCGTCCATCGTGTTCCACATGTCGAAGCAGAACATGGGTCAAGTGCTTGTGACGGCTCCGAGTAACATTGCCGTGGACCATCTTACGATGAAGATCAGCGCCACTGGCCTTCGCGTTGTTCGTCTGGCAGCTAAAAGCCGTGAAGCTGTGGCGTCCTCTGTCGAGCACTTGTCGTTGCACGCTATGATCAAGTCGCTGGACTCTCCGGATAAGGCCGATTTGCGCAAGCTCATGCAGCTTAAGGACGACCAGGGCGAGCTCTCGTCTCAGGATGAAAAGCGTTTCAAGTCGCTCAAGCGCCAGGCTGAGCGCGAAATTCTTCAGGCCGCGGATGTGATTTGTACGACGTGTGTGGGTGCCGGCGATCCGCGTCTTTCGAACTTCCGTTTCCGCCAGGTGCTGATCGATGAAGCTACGCAAGCTACGGAGCCCGAGTGCCTTATCCCGATTGTTCAAGGCGCCAAGCACGTAGTGATGGTGGGTGACCACTGTCAACTTGGGCCTGTGGTCATGAACAAGAAGGCAGCCACCGCTGGGCTGAACCAGTCTCTCTTCGACCGCCTGCTCAAGCTCAACCACCGCCCGTTCCGTCTGCGCGTGCAGTACCGCATGCACCCGTTCCTGTCGGAGTTCCCGTCGAACCGGTTCTATGAGGGGGAACTGCTGAACGGCGTGTCTGCAAGCGAGCGGCAACTTTCAGGTGTGGACTTCCCGTGGCCAAACCCGAACAAACCGACGTTCTTTTACATATGCCTTGGTGCCGAAGAGATCAGTTCTTCCGGTACAAGTTACCTGAACCGCACGGAGGCGAGCAACGTGGAGAAGATCGTCACAACTTTCTTGAAGGCAGGCGTACTGCCCTCACAGATTGGTGTTGTCACACCTTATGAAGGCCAGCGCGCGTACGTGGTCAGCTACATGCAGCGTAACGGGCCCATGCGCTCCCAGCTCTACAAGGACGTGGAAGTGGCGAGCGTGGACTCTTTCCAAGGTCGTGAGAAGGATTTGATCATCTTGTCGTGCGTGCGGTCCAACGATAACCAGGGCATTGGCTTCTTGAGCGACCAACGCCGTCTGAATGTGGCTCTTACCCGTGCTAAGTACGGTACCATTGTCCTGGGCAACCCGCGTGTGTTGGCCAAGCAGTCCCTCTGGAACAGTTTGCTGAACCACTACCGTGACAACCAGCTCATTGTGGAAGGACCGTTGAACAACTTGACGCCCTCGCACATGCAGTTCCCTCCACCGAGGCACCCGGGCCGCGGCGCTCACCGCAATGATAACGGAGCGAACCGTCAACGTGGACCAGTTCCGCCTCTGGACTCGCGCTTTGACCCGCGTTATGATCAGGCGGGTTTGCCTCCTCTTGACCCTCTCGCGGCTGGAGGCTTGCCTCCGCCCGCACCTCAGCATCGTGGGGGCCCGCGCCGTGGACCGAGCAGCTACGTGCCTGGAAGTATGGGCCCGCTTACCCAGGACGGTATGACTCAGTCGTCGCTAGGATTGGACGGCCCATTCACGCAGGTGGCTCAGACGCAGTCATTCAGCCAAATGTCGAGTGACAAGTTTGCGATGTCGCAAGACAGCTTTGGCTACGAGCACGACTTCAAGTCCCAGAACATGCCGATGTCCCAAGACACTCGCGCCCCCGGCAGCGACTTCTACTAAGACGAGGGTTTGATGCGTGACGATAAGATTTGATCGGATCGAGCGAAACGTCGACCGGAACACGCCTGCGTGGTGGGCGGTGCATTGGTACTCTTGAGGAAGAGAGTACTTGGCTGTAGTGCAGACGTCTCTCAAAAAGCATGACAGCGGCTGAGGGGCAAGAACGTCGTGTTGGATACGCCATCAGCTTTTGTTGCCCAGCGGTTGCTCAGTTACGATCAAGTGTAAGCAGAACCTTTTAAGGTTGTTGTGATGCTCGCCAACATGATTTGAGGACGAGGAGCGAGGTCGGGGGTCAGTTGGTATGCATGCTGAAGAACGCTCAGCTACAGCAAGACGCGACGTGAGACGACATAACGTAGCGAATGAAATGGGAGAGAGAAAGAAAGGAGAAGCTTGAAGCTCAGCGGTATGAACTCGAGCTCAAGGCCCGTCAGAACATCTTAGCAACCGCTTGATCTTCAATTGGACCCTCCCTTCATTCAATTTTGGCGTGGCTGTTACTCGTCTTTTTTGGGAGGGGATGCAAGGTGCCCATGTTTGTACTTTTTAGTGCTGAGCTGCCCACTTCATTTCAAGCAGAGACAAACACCAAGCTCACCCGGCGAACTGGTCATGTCGTTCAAGCCGGAGCTGTTCGAGGACGAGGAGGGCAAGAAGCTGCCGCTGGCCAACGAGAACGAGCTCTTTATCCTACAGCGCGCAAAGATCACCTTCCAGTGCAAAACCCCCGAGTGAGTAGCTTATAAGAAATAGTGATTGCTGTTGTTGTGCTGATTGGTTCGTACATTTCTAGCCATGCATTATTCAAAGGCAAGGGGCGCATCTACTGCACCACGCAGCGCATTATCTTCGTGGCGGAGAAGGGGATCACCCAGAATGGATGCTACTTCGAGGCCTTCGTAGGTTTCGCCTTTATTTTTCACTATCTATTCGAGTCGTGCATTCCAACTTGTCTGCTTTTGTTTGTTTTAGGAAATTCCGCTGGTGAAGATGACGGATGAGAAGTTTAACCAGCCCATCTTCGGCGCCTGCAGTATCTCGGGGCTCGTCGCGGCTGTAAGTGACGTCACCATGCGTGACAACCAACCCCAAACTCACATCCTTGTCATGTTATGTTGGCATTTCCCGTAACGTAGAGCGGCGAATTCGAGGGCGGCGGCAATTTTTCCTGGAAGATAACGTTCGCGAATGGCGGTACGGGTGTCGTCCTACCTGTGTTCTTGCGACTCATGGAGAAGCGCAAAAAGAAAGGTATGGCAGTGCTTTGTATCTTGTTTTGAGCCACAAGTGGAACGAGTGACATATTTGTGCCATTGGTAGAGGAGATCGACATGCATTTCGTGCAGAGCCAAAAGAAGGCGTTCGTCGACCCAAACGATCCCACCGTGATTTACATCGCCCAGCCTATCAAGCCCGCTGTTGGTGCGTCAGTTCAGAGCAGCTAGGCACAAGGACTCGAATGCAATTCGTCGCGCCAGCTACTTGTGCAGTACATTCGACATGCACAGGTAGCGAAGAAGAGCTGTACTTTATACAGTTCGAATATTACACTGGACTGCTGCCCTACTGTGTTAGTGATCCCCTTGTCTTTTGCATCGCCCTCTCGCACTCTTTTCGAGATGACCGAAGGAGCGCTTGCCATGCTAGTAATCCGGCAACAGTTGTCACGATTAATTTATAATGCCTCATAGTGGTCATCCTACGACTTGGATACTGCACCCCTGCTGGTCACTGGCGTGAGTGCTAGGCTTGATTCTACCTACATGAGCATTACTCGGACATTTTCAAATGCCAGCCCTCTTGAAAGTTTCCAGAGCTGAACAGGCGAACTTGTGCAGCGCCGAGCTTTTTGTCCAATCACAAGTGCCACTTTCAAATTGCCAGGTGCTTACCGCATTTCGCATGTAGAAAAACACACCCCATGTCATAGGTTTAGGTTAGTTACAGCACTCGAGCCTAAAAACAATGTAAAACCCAAAAACTGGGTCACGCGATCATTTCGTACGCAAAATGGGCAAGATGGTTGGCCTTGTCATGCGGATGGCGCGGAGCGATCTCCTCTAGGATGGCGGTTAAGCTAGCAACAAGTCTCTGCGCCATCTACAACTATGTTGCACAGGAACCACACCACTTAACCAATTATCTACAGCGTTGCTTCTTCTACTACCATCACTGCAGCAGCCGTGTTGTGCGCTCGCTCGAGCTTACGCGGTGGTTTAACCTCGTGCTCCCCATATCCCGCACTCAGGCGCGCCTCAACTGGGCCCACACCAGGCGTGGCTACTAACTATCACTCCGACGAGGCGTATGCCTCCAAGCGCGCGGGGAGGGGGGCAGCGCGACGTTGACGAGCGGTGCGCAGCTCTTCCCCTCTGCCTTCGCGCGCTTGGAACTGGTGGCCAATGTGAATGCAAAAATGCGCAAAATACTCAAATTAGGGGTGTATCTCTCTACATGCGATCCCACGCACTTTTCTCTCGCATCTCTGATTGGTTAAAATAAAGGTGTATCTCTTAAACCGCTGTAGCGCTCTACATGCGAAATGCCATCAGCAGGGCTTGGTAGTAATTCGCGAGGCCAGTAGAATATAGTACTATAGTACTATTACTTCTACTATAGTAACCAGTAACTTGACACTTTCTGATTGTACTATCACTATAGCAACCAGTAACTCATCCACGCCCCCAATAATACTATCGAGTTACTGCTGAGGTTCACCTGTGGCTCACGACTAGAAAATTTCAAGAGACCGCGTCGAACAAAAAGATACTAATCAACCAAAGTACGAATTGGGATTTAGGTACCTCGTTGGAAAGAGGGGCGTCTTAGCTATCTTTTGAGGCCCTCCACAACTTCTAACAGTTAGATTACCAAAGATATGACCCCGCGAAAAAATTATCTCCCGTCCCAGAGCAAAATTAAGATTTTTTTTATTAGGTACCCTGGTGTAAAATTGTACAGCGGATCCAATGATACCCTTCGTTTCTTCAAATTCGCATTGAAATAGTCTTAAAACTTCACTTTTGTGCGATGTTTCACATTAGTGACACATGCTGTCAATTGATATCATTTTGGATTTGCATGGACATAAGTATCACATTGATTGATCAGCTGGGCTAGACGACGTACATTGCTACACTTTTGAACTAACCAGAGACTGCAGCTCTTGAGCCTTTCCCTGAAGGCAGCGACGCTCACACTTACCAGCTCTGATAAGGCCTGTCACCTTCTGGTGAATAACAATCTCGATCAAATTGATACTTATATCCTCCTCGGCTCGCTCATCGTCTTCGATTCCCTCGCTGTCCCCCGTCACCTCTCTATCCTCTTCAGCTGACTCGGCCGTGCTCCAATCTTCATCATCATTGCTTTCATCAGGCTCCTCGCTCTCAGACGAGACGTCGCTGGCGGCATGTGCCGCAACGTGCGGGGAGGTCACTCGGGGTCGATTTTTCTGGTTGCGCTGCCGATCGGTTCGAGAAGGCGTGCACGTCGGTGATTCGTGCAGCTCGGAGGCACTCTCCTCCTGCTGCGGATCGGAGGTGCGCGCAAGCTGCTGCCCAGGAGCTGCCGAAGCGTGCTGCTCGGGCCCGTACGGCGTATGCTGCTCGGGAGGAGGGGGGTGTTGACAGGGAGGGGACGCGGGCGGCTCCGAGGCACCAACGGACTGTGGCGCGAGAGCGCCGGAAGCCTGTGTGCCGGCGGGCGACGACTCGGGGCCGCTGGAGGTCTGCGATGGCAGCTCGGAGGTTGAGCGGTGGGCTTCCATGTCGGCGGTGGTGTAGATCTTCCTTGAGAGTGAGGTGTTGAGGGAGCGTTCGCTTTAGTGACAGTTCAGGTTTTCAAATCACAAATCGGGCCCTTTCTCGAACTTCACTTAGATACGAAAAATAGCAGCCAATTTTCAAGCGCGGTTATCTCGATAACTCTAAATGGTGGCTTAGTATCAATTTGTTCGAGGCAGTCTCAAATGACACATACGTTCGCCCTCGCCTGCTGAGTCTATCCCACAGCCCAAAGCTCCACTCGGGTTTAATCGCGGTGAGTAAATGGTGAGTGTTGATTGCAATAGTTTAGCACCGCCGCTGGTACGCAAGTTGCTGCTCAGCATAATAGGAAAAAATGTCGTAAGCCCCTGTGCTCGTTCGTCGGCGGTAAGAAGTACTGGGTCTACATATTTTGGTGTCGTTTGTCGTTGGTACATCGCGAGATTTTGTATCTACTACTTACAACGCCCGTCCGTTTGCGACCAGATGTTCTCACATGTCAACCATCAACGAAGTCACACCCTTAAATAATATAAATATTTAAACAATTTGACCATTTCGTGACAACCTGCCGAAAAATATACTTAAAAAAATAGTGTGTGGACCACATTCAGCCAGAGTTTGATAGTACTATAGTACTATTACTATAGTAGCTAGGAACGCTTGAGCAAAAGGACGCAGTAGCTAGTAATTCGTTTTCTTTTACTGGAATACTACTGGTAGTAGTTCAGGACAACTACCGCTACTATCAAGCCCTGGCCATCAGGGTTTCTTAGCCGCTTTCAAATTGCCAGGTGCTTATATGCCATCAGGGTTTCTTAGCCGACGCTACCACGGTCGCGAGTGTCAGCATGGAGCTCACGACTCTGCTGGAGGCGCTCTATGCCCCCAATAAGGCGGGTCAACTCGTTATTAATATGGTTTGAAGGCCGTCTCAAGTACAGCATAATTCGGTAAAGAAGATGTCCGCGAGGCGAACAGCTTGAGGCGGGCTGCAGCTGGCACTGGTGGATACCTGCGAACACCAGGCGCCGCCGGAGCTGCGAGCCCTTCGCTTAGCTGAGCTCAGTTTTCAATTTGCTTCGCCGTCGCCAGCGATCCATCTACGCCTAGTGTCGTTCACCGTTTGTCCAGTCCAAGTCCCCGTCCCCCGTCCAGTCCTCAGTGTGTTTGTCCAGAATGAACCTCACCAAGATCATCGCCCACCTCGCCATCATTGCTGCCGCCATGGGCTCGCTCACGGAAGCCGGCGGCAAGTTTGGTCTGCCGGCCCAGCAGTCGATCGTCTCGAAGGGGAAACCCGTGGTCGTCGTTCCGGCCCCTGCGACCTACGCGCCCATCGTCACTCCTGCTCCAACGACCAAGCCTCCGACTGCGCCGGCCCCGACTCCCTGTGCGACGACTAAGGCACCGGCCCCAACCCCTTGCCCGACGACGAAAGCACCTACCGCGGCTCCGGCCGCAACGACCAAAGCACCTATCGCGGTTCCGGCCCCAACTCCCTGTGCAACGACCGGTGCACCAGTTACGACGCCACTTCCGACTCCGGCTTTGACGACAGGAGCCCCCGTGACTACGCCGGCACCGGTTCCGGCACCAACCCCTTCTCCTACTCCAGCTCCGACCGAGGCTCCCACGCCAGCTCCGACTCAAGCTCCTTCCACTTTGTCGGTAGTGACTCCGGTGCCGACGCCATGTGAGACTACCGCGGCACCCATTGCGACTCCGAATCCAACGACCGCACCGACTCCGGCTCCGACGACCGCGGTGGAGACGCCGATCCCGACGCCGGAGGCCACCACTGGAGGCTCCAGCGAGACGCCCGCGCCGACCTCAACTCCGGAGGCCACCACCGGCACGGACACGCCGATCCAAACCACGCCGGACACGCCGGCACCGACTCCGGCTCCGACGACCGCGGTGGAGACGCCGATCCCGACGCCGGAGGCCACCACTGGAGGCTCCAGCGAGACGCCCGCGCCGACCTCGACTCCGGAGGCCACCACCGGCACGGACACGCCGATCCAAACCACGCCGGACACGCCGGCACCGACTCCGGCTCCGACGACCGCGGTGGAGACGCCGATCCCGACGCCGGAGGCCACCACTGGAGGCTCCAGCGAGACGCCCGCGCCGACCTCAACTCCGGAGGCCACCACCGGCACGGACACGCCGATCCAAACCACGCCGGACACGCCGGCACCGACTCCGGCTCCGACGACCGCGGTGGAGACGCCGATCCCGACGCCGGAGGCCACCACTGGAGGCTCCAGCGAGACGCCCGCGCCGACCTCGACTCCGGAGGCCACCACCGGCACGGACACGCCGATCCAAACCACGCCGGACACGCCGGCACCGACTCCGGCTCCGACGACCACGGTGGAGACGCCGGTCCCGACGCCGGAGGCCACCACTGGAGGCTCCAGCGAGACGCCCGCGCCGACCTCGACTCCGGAGGCCACCACCGGCACGGACACGCCGATCCAAACCACGCCGGACACGCCGGCACCGACTCCGGCTCCGACGACCGCGGTGGAGACGCCGATCCCGACGCCGGAGGCCACCACTGGAGGCTCCAGCGAGACGCCCGCGCCGACCTCAACTCCGGAGGCCACCACCGGCACGGACACGCCGATCCAAACCACGCCGGACACGCCGGCACCGACTCCGGCTCCGACGACCACGGTGGAGACGCCGGTCCCGACGCCGGAGGCCACCACTGGAGGCTCCAGCGAGACGCCCGCGCCGACCTCGACTCCGGAGGCCACCACCGGCACGGACACGCCGATCCAAACCACGCCGGACACGCCGGCACCGACTCCGGCTCCGACGACCGCGGTGGAGACGCCGATCCCGACGCCGGAGGCCACCACTGGAGGCTCAAGCGAGACGCCCGCGCCGACCTCGACTCCGGAGGCCACCACCGGCACGGACACGCCGATCCAAACCACGCCGGACACGCCGGCACCGACTCCGGCTCCGACGACCGCGGTGGAGACGCCGATCCCGACGCCGGAGGCCACCACTGGAGGCTCCAGCGAGACGCCCGCGCCGACCTCAACTCCGGAGGCCACCACCGGCACGGACACGCCGATCCAAACCACGCCGGACACGCCGGCACCGACTCCGGCTCCGACGACCACGGTGGAGACGCCGATCCCGGCGCCGGAGGCCACCACTGGAGGCTCCAGCGAGACGCCCGCGCCGACCTCGACTCCGGAGGCCACCACCGGCACGGACACGCCGGCACCGACTCCGGCTCCGACGACCGCGGTGGAGACGCCGATCCCGACGCCGGAGGCCACCACTGGAGGCTCCAGCGAGACGCCCGCGCCGACCTCAACTCCGGAGGCCACCACCGGCACGGACACGCCGATCCAAACCACGCCGGACACGCCGGCACCGACTCCGGCTCCGACGACCGCGGTGGAGACGCCGATCCCGACGCCGGAGGCCACCACTGGAGGCTCCAGCGAGACGCCCGCGCCGACCTCAACTCCGGAGGCCACCACCGGCACGGACACGCCGATCCAAACCACGCCGGACACGCCGGCACCGACTCCGGCTCCGACGACCGCGGTGGAGACGCCGATCCCGACGCCGGAGGCCACCACTGGAGGCTCCAGCGAGACGCCCGCGCCGACCTCAACTCCGGAGGCCACCACCGGCACGGACACGCCGATCCAAACCACGCCGGACACGCCGGCACCGACTCCGGCTCCGACGACCGCGGTGGAGACGCCGATCCCGACGCCGGAGGCCACCACTGGAGGCTCCAGCGAGACGCCCGCGCCGACCTCAACTCCGGAGGCCACCACCGGCACGGACACGCCGATCCAAACCACGCCGGACACGCCGGCACCGACTCCGGCTCCGACGACCGCGGTGGAGACGCCGGTCCCGACGCCGGAGGCCACCACTGGAGGCTCCAGCGAGACGCCCGCGCCGACCTCGACTCCGGAGGCCACCACCGGCACGGACACGCCGATCCAAACCACGCCGGACACGCCGGCACCGACTCCGGCTCCGACGACCGCGGTGGAGACGCCGGTCCCGACGCCGGAGGCCACCACTGGAGGCTCCAGCGAGACGCCCGCGCCGACCTCGACTCCGGAGGCCACCACCGGCACGGACACGCCGATCCAAACCACGCCGGACACGCCGGCACCGACTCCGGCTCCGACGACCACGGTGGAGACGCCGGTCCCGACGCCGGAGGCCACCACTGGAGGCTCCAGCGAGACGCCCGCGCCGACCTCGACTCCGGAGGCCACCACCGGCACGGACACGCCGATCCAAACCACGCCGGACACGCCGGCACCGACTCCGGCTCCGACGACCACGGTGGAGACGCCGGTCCCGACGCCGGAGGCCACCACTGGAGGCTCCAGCGAGACGCCCGCGCCGACCTCGACTCCGGAGGCCACCACCGGCACGGACACGCCGATCCAAACCACGCCGGACACGCCGGCACCGACTCCGGCTCCGACGACCGCGGTGGAGACGCCGGTCCCGACGCCGGTCCCGACGCCGGAGGCCACCACTGGAGGCTCCAGCGAGACGCCCGCGCCGACCTCGACTCCGGAGGCCACCACCGGCACGGACACGCCGATCCAAACCACGCCGGACACGCCGGCACCGACTCCGGCTCCGACGACCGCGGTGGAGACGCCGGTCCCGACGCCGGAGGCCACCACTGGAGGCTCCAGCGAGACGCCCGCGCCGACCTCAACTCCGGAGGCCACCACCGGCACGGACACGCCGATCCAAACCACGCCGGACACGCCGGCACCGACTCCGGCTCCGACGACCACGGTGGAGACGCCGGTCCCGACGCCGGAGGCCACCACTGGAGGCTCCAGCGAGACGCCCGCGCCGACCTCGACTCCGGAGGCCACCACCGGCACGGACACGCCGATCCAAACCACGCCGGACACGCCGGCACCGACTCCGGCTCCGACGACCGCGGTGGAGACGCCGGTCCCGACGCCGGTCCCGACGCCGGAGGCCACCACTGGAGGCTCCAGCGAGACGCCCGCGCCGACCTCGACTCCGGAGGCCACCACCGGCACGGACACGCCGATCCAAACCACGCCGGACACGCCGGCACCGACTCCGGCTCCGACGACCGCGGTGGAGACGCCGGTCCCGACGCCGGAGGCCACCACTGGAGGCTCCAGCGAGACGCCCGCGCCGACCTCAACTCCTGTCGCAACGCCTGTTGTCACCTTGGTTCCGATGCCAGTGCCGACGACCAACGCTCCAGTGTCTACTCCTATTTCGACTCCAGCGGCTACAACTTCTGTCCCAGTTGTTTATCCAGCTCCTACACCTTGTGCTACGACCGGATCGCCCCGTCCTATTCCGGCGCCAACCCCGACCAAGGCCGCTATCAAGTCGCCCGTTCCGACACCGTGCCCAACGACAAAGACCCCAGTCTCGAAGACAACTCCGGCACCAGCTCGTACGCCCAGCAAGACGCCGAGCCCACCGTTGGCTAAGACTCCAAGCCCGCCCGCCAAGGCGACTGGTTCATCAAAGACCGCTCCTACGCCGTGCCCATCGGTTACCAAGGCGGCTCCGAAGCAGTCGAATGTGAACCAGAAGGCTGGAAGCGTTCCCGGCAATGGCGTTAAGGCTGGCGCGGCTACCGGTGGCAAGCCCACTGCTGTGTCTGGTGGCGCAGCTCCGGCCAAGGGTTCTACAATCGTCTCAAGTGGAAAGCAGGAACCCATCACTGTCGGCAAATCCGATGCCAAGGACAGCAAGGCAAAGGCGCAGCCCCCTACCAAGACGACTGTCGCTCCAACTCCGTGCCCAAGCCCGACTGTGGCCGGGAAAGCAACCGTATCGAAAAGCCGCCCAAGCCGCTACCTTCGCCAGTAAGGGCACTCGTTCGAACAGCATGAAGTTGTACAGCGTCGTCTGATGCATACTTTTTCTGGGATAGCAGTACTGAAACACATTTGAATGACAAGTGCTGCTTCTGAATCGGACACCGTATTGTTGATGTTGGTTGTATTGAAAAAAAGGAAGGTGCACTAAGTGAAAAATTGTGATACCGGTCGCTGGTGTGCAGCAGCACTAGAGGATAAAAGACCCAATTGAACAGAACAGCTATTGCGATATCCAATTTGCAACGTCTCGATCCTAATGGACCTGGAATCTGAGTAGAGTTCGGAATGAAATTCATCATCGTGTAGACCAGCACTTCAACTTATTTCAAGTACGTTTTACACTTAAAATAACGAAAATCCATGAAAATATGCTTGCACGTTAACCACGTCGTGTTCATACAAACCATCAGTGCAGTTAGCCGCAACAACGCTAGCGTTTATTAAAAACGGTTTGTTGCTGTTGTCATTCTGCCTTGCTGTTGGCAGCAACAACAACTTGCTGCAGTCGGCATTGATCATTAAGCACACTCGGGCCGAGACTTGCAGCCCAATCCATTGAAGTGCCAATCCGCCGCAAGATCACACAGATTTGAATGCATTCCTACTCATAACCTCAGTTATACGCATTTTCGTTCATCTGTAGTCTCTATAGAGCACTACACTGTAGTGATTCAATTTTATTTATCTATGAAAACTGGCACTAAGAATTCACACTCTTTGGAGATCAATTTTACGTGCTAGGTAAATATCGGGATACGACAAGTTCTGCAAGTCTCTTGGACCTTTTTTTTATGCACCGTCCGTCCAGCAGAATATGCTAAGGTTCGGCGCCCGCTAATGGATGGCATGTTCTGCGGTGTTGGGATACGACGTGGTTAACGTGCAAGCATATTTTCATGGATTTTCGTTATTTTAAGTGTAAAACGTACTTGAAATAAGTTGAAGTGCTGGTCTACACGATGATGAATTTCATTCCGAACTCTACTCAGATTCCAGGTCCATTAGGATCGAGACGTTGCAAATTGGATATCGCAATAGCTGTTCTGTTCAATTGGGTCTTTTATCCTCTAGTGCTGCTGCACACCAGCGACCGGTATCACAATTTTTCACTTAGTGCACCTTCCTTTTTTTCAATACAACCAACATCAACAATACGGTGTCCGATTCAGAAGCAGCACTTGTCATTCAAATGTGTTTCAGTACTGCTATCCCAGAAAAAGTATGCATCAGACGACGCTGTACAACTTCATGCTGTTCGAACGAGTGCCCTTACTGGCGAAGGTAGCGGCTTGGGCGGCTTTTCGATACGGTTGCTTTCCCGGCCACAGTCGGGCTTGGGCACGGAGTTGGAGCGACAGTCGTCTTGGTAGGGGGCTGCGCCTTTGCCTTGCTGTCCTTGGCATCGGATTTGCCGACAGTGATGGGTTCCTGCTTTCCACTTGAGACGATTGTAGAACCCTTGGCCGGAGCTGCGCCACCAGACACAGCAGTGGGCTTGCCACCGGTAGCCGCGCCAGCCTTAACGCCATTGCCGGGAACGCTTCCAGCCTTCTGGTTCACATTCGACTGCTTCGGAGCCGCCTTGGTAACCGATGGGCACGGCGTAGGAGCGGTCTTTGATGAACCAGTCGCCTTGGCGGGCGGGCTTGGAGTCTTAGCCAACGGTGGGCTCGGCGTCTTGCTGGGCGTACGAGCTGGTGCCGGAGTTGTCTTCGAGACTGGGGTCTTTGTCGTTGGGCACGGTGTCGGAACGGGCGACTTGATAGCGGCCTTGGTCGGGGTTGGCGCCGGAATAGGACGGGGCGATCCGGTCGTAGCACAAGGTGTAGGAGCTGGATAAACAACTGGGACAGAAGTTGTAGCCACTGGAGTCGAAATAGGAGTAGACACTGGAGCGTTGGTCGTCGGCACTGGCATCGGAACCAAGGTGACAACAGGCGTTGCGACAGGAGTCGAGGTCGGCGCGGGCGTCTCGCTGGAGCCTCCAGTGGTGGCCTCCGGCGTCGGGATCGGCGTCTCCACCGCGGTCGTCGGAGCCGGAGTCGGTGCCGGCGTGTCCGGCGTGGTTTGGATCGGCGTGTCCGTGCCGGTGGTGGCCTCCGGAGTTGAGGTCGGCGCGGGCGTCTCGCTGGAGCCTCCAGTGGTGGCCTCCGGCGTCGGGACCGGCGTCTCCACCGTGGTCGTCGGAGCCGGAGTCGGTGCCGGCGTGTCCGGCGTGGTTTGGATCGGCGTGTCCGTGCCGGTGGTGGCCTCCGGAGTCGAGGTCGGCGCGGGCGTCTCGCTGGAGCCTCCAGTGGTGGCCTCCGGCGTCGGGACCGGCGTCTCCACCGTGGTCGTCGGAGCCGGAGTCGGTGCCGGCGTGTCCGGCGTGGTTTGGATCGGCGTGTCCGTGCCGGTGGTGGCCTCCGGAGTCGAGGTCGGCGCGGGCGTCTCGCTGGAGCCTCCAGTGGTGGCCTCCGGCGTCGGGACCGGCGTCTCCACCGTGGTCGTCGGAGCCGGAGTCGGTGCCGGCGTGTCCGGCGTGGTTTGGATCGGCGTGTCCGTGCCGGTGGTGGCCTCCGGAGTCGAGGTCGGCGCGGGCGTCTCGCTGGAGCCTCCAGTGGTGGCCTCCGGCGTCGGGACCGGCGTCTCCACCGTGGTCGTCGGAGCCGGAGTCGGTGCCGGCGTGTCCGGCGTGGTTTGGATCGGCGTGTCCGTGCCGGTGGTGGCCTCCGGAGTCGAGGTCGGCGCGGGCGTCTCGCTGGAGCCTCCAGTGGTGGCCTCCGGCGTCGGGATCGGCGTCTCCACCGCGGTCGTCGGAGCCGGAGTCGGTGCCGGCGTGTCCGGCGTGGTTTGGATCGGCGTGTCCGTGCCGGTGGTGGCCTCCGGAGTCGAGGTCGGCGCGGGCGTCTCGCTGGAGCCTCCAGTGGTGGCCTCCGGCGTCGGGACCGGCGTCTCCACCGTGGTCGTCGGAGCCGGAGTCGGTGCCGGCGTGTCCGGCGTGGTTTGGATCGGCGTGTCCGTGCCGGTGGTGGCCTCCGGAGTCGAGGTCGGCGCGGGCGTCTCGCTGGAGCCTCCAGTGGTGGCCTCCGGCGTCGGGATCGGCGTCTCCACCGCGGTCGTCGGAGCCGGAGTCGGTGCCGGCGTGTCCGGCGTGGTTTGGATCGGCGTGTCCGTGCCGGTGGTGGCCTCCGGAGTCGAGGTCGGCGCGGGCGTCTCGCTGGAGCCTCCAGTGGTGGCCTCCGGCGTCGGGACCGGCGTCTCCACCGTGGTCGTCGGAGCCGGAGTCGGTGCCGGCGTGTCCGGCGTGGTTTGGATCGGCGTGTCCGTGCCGGTGGTGGCCTCCGGAGTCGAGGTCGGCGCGGGCGTCTCGCTGGAGCCTCCAGTGGTGGCCTCCGGCGTCGGGACCGGCGTCTCCACCGTGGTCGTCGGAGCCGGAGTCGGTGCCGGCGTGTCCGGCGTGGTTTGGATCGGCGTGTCCGTGCCGGTGGTGGCCTCCGGAGTCGAGGTCGGCGCGGGCGTCTCGCTGGAGCCTCCAGTGGTGGCCTCCGGCGCCGGGATCGGCGTCTCCACCGTGGTCGTCGGAGCCGGAGTCGGTGCCGGCGTGTCCGGCGTGGTTTGGATCGGCGTGTCCGTGCCGGTGGTGGCCTCCGGAGTCGAGGTCGGCGCGGGCGTCTCGCTGGAGCCTCCAGTGGTGGCCTCCGGCGTCGGGATCGGCGTCTCCACCGTGGTCGTCGGAGCCGGAGTCGGTGCCGGCGTGTCCGGCGTGGTTTGGATCGGCGTGTCCGTGCCGGTGGTGGCCTCCGGAGTCGAGGTCGGCGCGGGCGTCTCGCTGGAGCCTCCAGTGGTGGCCTCCGGCGTCGGGACCGGCGTCTCCACCGTGGTCGTCGGAGCCGGAGTCGGTGCCGGCGTGTCCGGCGTGGTTTGGATCGGCGTGTCCGTGCCGGTGGTGGCCTCCGGAGTTGAGGTCGGCGCGGGCGTCTCGCTGGAGCCTCCAGTGGTGGCCTCCGGCGTCGGGATCGGCGTCTCCACCGCGGTCGTCGGAGCCGGAGTCGGTGCCGGCGTGTCCGGCGTGGTTTGGATCGGCGTGTCCGTGCCGGTGGTGGCCTCCGGAGTCGAGGTCGGCGCGGGCGTCTCGCTGGAGCCTCCAGTGGTGGCCTCCGGCGTCGGGACCGGCGTCTCCACCGTGGTCGTCGGAGCCGGAGTCGGTGCCGGCGTGTCCGGCGTGGTTTGGATCGGCGTGTCCGTGCCGGTGGTGGCCTCCGGAGTCGAGGTCGGCGCGGGCGTCTCGCTGGAGCCTCCAGTGGTGGCCTCCGGCGTCGGGATCGGCGTCTCCACCGCGGTCGTCGGAGCCGGAGTCGGTGCCGGCGTGTCCGGCGTGGTTTGGATCGGCGTGTCCGTGCCGGTGGTGGCCTCCGGAGTTGAGGTCGGCGCGGGCGTCTCGCTGGAGCCTCCAGTGGTGGCCTCCGGCGTCGGGATCGGCGTCTCCACCGCGGTCGTCGGAGCCGGAGTCGGTGCCGGCGTGTCCGGCGTGGTTTGGATCGGCGTGTCCGTGCCGGTGGTGGCCTCCGGAGTCGAGGTCGGCGCGGGCGTCTCGCTGGAGCCTCCAGTGGTGGCCTCCGGCGTCGGGACCGGCGTCTCCACCGTGGTCGTCGGAGCCGGAGTCGGTGCCGGCGTGTCCGGCGTGGTTTGGATCGGCGTGTCCGTGCCGGTGGTGGCCTCCGGAGTCGAGGTCGGCGCGGGCGTCTCGCTGGAGCCTCCAGTGGTGGCCTCCGGCGTCGGGACCGGCGTCTCCACCGTGGTCGTCGGAGCCGGAGTCGGTGCCGGCGTGTCCGGCGTGGTTTGGATCGGCGTGTCCGTGCCGGTGGTGGCCTCCGGAGTCGAGGTCGGCGCGGGCGTCTCGCTGGAGCCTCCAGTGGTGGCCTCCGGCGTCGGGATCGGCGTCTCCACCGCGGTCGTCGGAGCCGGAGTCGGTGCCGGCGTGCCCGGCGTGGTTTGGATCGGCGTGTCCGTGCCGGTGGTGGCCTCCGGAGTTGAGGTCGGCGCGGGCGTCTCGCTGGAGCCTCCAGTGGTGGCCTCCGGCGTCGGGATCGGCGTCTCCACCGCGGTCGTCGGAGCCGGAGTCGGTGCCGGCGTGTCCGGCGTGGTTTGGATCGGCGTGTCCGTGCCGGTGGTGGCCTCCGGAGTCGAGGTCGGCGCGGGCGTCTCGCTGGAGCCTCCAGTGGTGGCCTCCGGCGTCGGGATCGGCGTCTCCACCGCGGTCGTCGGAGCCGGAGTCGGTGCCGACGTGTCCGGCGTGGTTTGGATCGGCGTGTCCGTGCCGGTGGTGGCCTCCGGAGTTGAGGTCGGCGCGGGCGTCTCGCTGGAGCCTCCAGTGGTGGCCTCCGGCGTCGGGACCGGCGTCTCCACCGCGGTCGTCGGAGCCGGAGTCGGTGCCGGCGTGTCCGGCGTGGTTTGGATCGGCGTGTCCGTGCCGGTGGTGGCCTCCGGAGTCGAGGTCGGCGCGGGCGTCTCGCTGGAGCCTCCAGTGGTGGCCTCCGGCGTCGGGATCGGCGTCTCCACCGCGGTCGTCGGAGCCGGAGTCGGTGCCGGCGTGTCCGGCGTGGTTTGGATCGGCGTGTCCGTGCCGGTGGTGGCCTCCGGAGTCGAGGTCGGCGCGGGCGTCTCGCTGGAGCCTCCAGTGGTGGCCTCCGGCGTCGGGACCGGCGTCTCCACCGTGGTCGTCGGAGCCGGAGTCGGTGCCGGCGTGTCCGGCGTGGTTTGGATCGGCGTGTCCGTGCCGGTGGTGGCCTCCGGAGTCGAGGTCGGCGCGGGCGTCTCGCTGGAGCCTCCAGTGGTGGCCTCCGGCGTCGGGATCGGCGTCTCCACCGCGGTCGTCGGAGCCGGAGTCGGTGCCGGCGTGTCCGGCGTGGTTTGGATCGGCGTGTCCGTGCCGGTGGTGGCCTCCGGAGTCGAGGTCGGCGCGGGCGTCTCGCTGGAGCCTCCAGTGGTGGCCTCCGGCGTCGGGATCGGCGTCTCCACCGCGGTCGTCGGAGCCGGAGTCGGTGCCGGCGTGTCCGGCGTGGTTTGGATCGGCGTGTCCGTGCCGGTGGTGGCCTCCGGAGTCGAGGTCGGCGCGGGCGTCTCGCTGGAGCCTCCAGTGGTGGCCTCCGGCGTCGGGATCGGCGTCTCCACCGCGGTCGTCGGAGCCGGAGTCGGTGCCGGCGTGTCCGGCGTGGTTTGGATCGGCGTGTCCGTGCCGGTGGTGGCCTCCGGAGTCGAGGTCGGCGCGGGCGTCTCGCTGGAGCCTCCAGTGGTGGCCTCCGGCGTCGGGATCGGCGTCTCCACCGCGGTCGTCGGAGCCGGAGTCGGTGCGGTCGTTGGATTCGGAGTCGCAACGGGTGCCGCGGTAGTCTCACATGGCGTCGGCACCGGAGTCACTACCGGCAAAGTGGAAGGAGCTTGAGTCGGAGCTGGCGTGGGAGCCTCGGTCGGAGCTGGAGTAGGAGAAGGGGTTGGTGCCGGAACCGGTGCCGGCGTAGTCACGGGGGCTCCTGTCGTCAAAGCCGGAGTCGGAAGTGGCGTCGTAACTGGTGCACCGGTCGTTGCACAGGGAGTTGGGGCCGGAACCGCGATAGGTGCTTTGGTCGTTGCGGCCGGAGCCGCGGTAGGTGCTTTCGTCGTCGGGCAAGGGGTTGGGGCCGGTGCCTTAGTCGTCGCACAGGGAGTCGGGGCCGGCGCAGTCGGAGGCTTGGTCGTTGGAGCAGGAGTGACGATGGGCGCGTAGGTCGCAGGGGCCGGAACGACGACCACGGGTTTCCCCTTCGAGACGATCGACTGCTGGGCCGGCAGACCAAACTTGCCGCCGGCTTCCGTGAGCGAGCCCATGGCGGCAGCAATGATGGCGAGGTGGGCGATGATCTTGGTGAGGTTCATTCTGGACAAACACACTGAAGACTGGACGGGGGACGGGGACTTGGACTGGACAAACGGTGAACGACACTAGGCGTAGATGGATCGCTGGCGACGGCGAAGCAAATAGAAAACTGAGCTCAGCTAAGCGAAGGGCTCGCAGCTCCGGCGGCGCCTGGTGTTCGCAGGTATCCACCAGTGCCAGCTGCAGCCCGCCTCAAGCTGTTCGCCTCGCGGACATCTTCTTTACCGAATTATGCTGTACTTGAGACGGCCTTCAAACCATATTAATAACGAGTTGACCCGCCTTATTGGGGGCATAGAGCGCCTCCAGCAGAGTCGTGAGCTCCATGCTGACACTCGCGACCGTGGTAGCGTCGGCTAAGAAACCCTGATGGCATATAAGCACCTGGCAATTTGAAAGTGGCACTTGTGATTGGACAAAAAGCTCGGCGCTGCACAAGTTCGCCTGTTCAGCTCTGGAAACTTTCAAGAGAGCTGGCATTTGAAAATGTCCGAGTAAAGCTCATGTAGGTAGAATCAAGCCTAGCACTCACGCCAGTGACCAGCAGGGGTGCAGTATCCAAGTCGTAGGATGACCACTATGAGGCATTATAAATTAATCGTGACAACTGTTGCCGGATTACTAGCATGGCAAGCGCTCCTTCGGTCACGTCTCGAAAAAGAGGGCGAGAGGGCGATGCAAAAGATCAGGTGTACACTACAGTAGATTACCAGGTTAAAGAGCAACTGCACTAGTAGCCCGACCTTTATTGAGAGCTCACATCCTGCTCTAGTTGTGGTCTGCGAAATCACGAGACAACCACTTCGATCTTTTCTGCGTCGGTTTCCGCCTTACTCTGGCGGCTAAACGAAGGCAGTGTCCAGTCGCTTCCAATGATACGGGGATCTCCATCGGATTAAAGACTTGTACTGAATGAACATCATCATCAATTCAAATGCTACTTAGTACACTGGGCAAATGCTCTTATCGTGGCCAAACACGGCGGACGCCTCGAAGAAGGGGCGTATTCACCAAAGTAAGTGATACTCACAGGTACTAAGTGGACGATACATATGACAGCATGATGACGTTTGTCTGCGACTGGCACCTCTCGACGTAGCCAGCGTCCCCTTCCGATGACTTCCTGGGTCACGAGACGGACTCAATGACTGTAATGTACCTCACTTCGAGGCGTAAAGGTGATCGTCTGCGATGGAGAACCGGAACTCGGATGAATCACTGAGAGCTCAGGTTTAGTGCTACATGGGCAAAGTTTACTGTACGCCATACTCAAGATAGCCGCCGCGGGCATTGCAGATTCGAAGGCGATGATATCGCCAGGATCCAACAAATACCAGTGCAAAATTTTGCATTTAATGATAATATAAAGACGCTCTAGCTCCATTTCTCGGCGCAACAGCACTCGTATAAACTTTTTTTACGATACGAATCGTCGACGTCCTTTTTGATCTGTGCGGCTCAAACTCCCCGCAACATCACGATCGATCTACCGAAGTAATATCCTACTGCTGAGTACACTGAAGGGAAATGCTAAAGCCACGAGACAAAAGTACTAGAGACCCGTGACAGTACCACTAATCCGGTACAACCAATCTGATGCAGTCGGTAGCTGCAGTTTAGGCCCTGGCAATCACCATCTGCCGACTACTAGAGCCCCGAGACAGACGTGTAGCACCTTACGTACTAGGGCCCCGAGACGGACATGAAGCACATCAACTACTACACGTACCAACGTGCAATCAAATCCGAAAGTCGCAAAATTCATATTGCAAATTTCTAGTTAGCAACTTCAATTACGCATTCAAAGATGGAATTACGGCAATCAAATTCGTACAGTAAAGTAGGCTACTACTACTGGTCCGACGAGCCCTGCTACATACCGTACACTATGTCCTCGTTGTTCGCCTTGGTGACGAAGTCGCGACAATGCAGCTCCATGCTGGCCACCAGCGCTGGGGTCATCACGTTCATGTTAGCGGTCGCGGCGCGCTCCAGGATGTGCATCTGGCGTTCCGAAACGGAGAGGATCTCACCGTTGCTGTCTGGCTCACGCGAGCGATCGTAGATTGCGTGGCGATCCAGAGCCAAGTCACGCTTAATGCGGGATTTTAGGACGCTGCTTCTCGAGGACGGTGTGGCGAGTAACGCGGCCTTGGAGGGACATCTGGGAAGAAGAAGGCGAATTGCGAAGTGAGCTCCCCTCGGTCGGCGTCGGCTATAGTGCGCGCCAAACCGCGCGCCCTTGCTTTTGGCGCGAGCGCAGCTCCGTCTTCCGTTTTGGCGTGAGCACAGCACGCCAGCTTACGTAGCCATGGAGATCTTGGATCTCTCTTTGAATGCGTAATTGAAGTTGCTAACTAGAAATTTGCAATATGAATTTTGCGACTTTCGGATTTGATTGCACGTTGGTACGAAGTAGGCCGCACAAAGGTGTAGTTCCCCGAGATGGTCACCGAGTACGTAAAGTTCTAGCACCTCTAGACGGCCATTGAGTACCCGAAGTGCTCGAGTCCCGAGGCAGATACCGATTGCCTGAAGTACTAGATCCCCGAGACGGCCATTCGTACTCCGAGTACGTGTCGTACTAGAGCCCCGAGACGTACTCGTGGTTATGGTGTAGTTCAGTGCCGTCAAAGCGCTGGTGCCATTTCACAGAGAGATCGTAGTGAACGTGCCACTTCTGCGTCGCTCTGTTTAGATACAGATTGATACGCAGTGGACATTCATTTCCGGGTTGACGTGTTTTTGCGCGGCTTCACAGAGGTGCTTGCTCCCTCTCGAGATTTTTTTTTGGGTTTGTACTTATCATAGCGATCGCATGCAAAAATTACTCGGTACAGTTGCTTCTTACGATATTTCTGCGGTCTGCCTTCACCAATGCGTAGCCGTGCACTCTAGCAAAAACATTCATCAGATCTTTTGCATCGTCCGGGGAATCGTAAATTTGGACGGGTGGTATCCAGACTGGAACAGCTCCTGAACCAGCTTCAGATCCATCCCTAACTTCACATTCACCACCAGATCCCGCGTTAGACCCAGATCCACGTCCACGTTCAGATTCACGTCCTGGTCCAGATCCACGTCGAACCCCATCTTCACGTCCTGCTCCATGCTCAACTCCTCCACGCCCAACTCCACATCCCCCTCTATCTCCACCTCCAGGCTTATCTCCGCGTTCAGCTCCACGGCCAGACTCATCAGCACGTCCAGCCCCATGACCACTACCAGCTCCACGTCGAGACTCATCACCACGGTCAGTCCCACGGCCACCACCAGCTCCATGCCCAGAGCCATGTCCACGGTCACCACCAGCTTCATGTTCAGTCTGAACCTCATGAACAAGTTCATCCCGAGGAGCACCTCCAGCTCCGGTTTCAGGTACAGCTACAGCCCCATGTCCAGCGGCAGCTTCAGCAAACACATCCGCTGCAATCGAACGAATACCCCTCGCAATGTGTTCGCGTCGCGTGGGCGCAGATATCCGTCCTTTAACCAAGTTGTAGGATCGGATAGTGCGGAGTTGAGGATTGATCGCGCTTTCGACAGCGACTTTGTGCGTGTACGGAAGTGGCTCCTCAGTATCAAGACTTAACGGAAACTCCTTCGCATCCGGATTCACAGCGATGGCAAGGATGCCAGAAACCTTCATGTCGAAAAAAATGGGATGATAGTATGAAACGATGTCTCCAGCCCGCAATTGCTGCTCTCCATTCTTCTTGATCAACGCAGCAACACTAGGAAGGCGATGGCGGGCCTCCATCACCAGCCCAGTGATAGCCACCTCGTACTCGCGGTTGAGTGGTAGTTTTGCGAAGAAGAGGCTGACGGAGTAGTAGTCGAAGTTGGGGTGTCGTTTGGAGGAGGCTTCAGGGGCAGTGGCTGGTCGAGGAGCGCGCGAAGCCGGCAAGTGACAGCTAGGGATGAGCAGTGAGGTTGGTGATAAGAATAAATCGGAACATGCACCAACGCATATTCTTAGCATCGCTTTCGCGAATCCTACTTAATCACTGATTCCGGTTGTTGATGTACTTCATGTCCGTCTCGGGGCCCTAGTACGTCAGCTACTACACGTCTGTCTCGGGGCTCTAGTAGTCGGCAGATGGTGATTGCCAGGGCCTAAACTGCAGCTACCGACTGCATCAGATTGGTTGTACCGGATTAGTGGTACTGTCACGGGTCTCTAGTACTTTTGTCTCACCCGTGGACTCTGGATAAAATCCAGAGGACATTGGACCGCCTTCCTCAATAACTCTGAAATGAGTTTAAAAAAATATCTCCTCAAAATAAGGGGCAACATCCTCTGAGTTGGCAAGCACGAAACCTGGGAGTACTCCATTATCGTAAAACCGCTACTACATCAATCTACTGCGCACGACACGGGGGTCTAAAAGTTGTAGCGAGATCGAACGTGGTCGAGGATGCGACGCAGCATCCAGCCGTCGTTCGGCGTGATCGTGGTCGAGCTGTACGCCATCATGATTGCATTGGGAAAGTCCTTCCTGGGCTTGTCCTCGGGCTTGTAGAAGTCCGGCAGGCCGAAGCCGTGGCCGATTTCGTGACCAATGAACATGATGTTCCTGTCGAAGAGGTTCTGCATGGTGTTCTCGAGACTCACCTCCTGGCCCCAGTCGTAGCCAAAGCCGTAAGGGATGTCGTCCTTGAGCCAGAATGACATGTCAAAGGGCTCACCCTGGCACGCGCTCGTGTCCGACCACACGTTGTTCACATTGTCGTAGAAGCGGTAGCACTCGTCGGGGCACTGCGGCGCCTTGTCGGACAAGGATATACCCCCCTCGTAGATCTTACCGAGCGATTCGTCGGCCCAACCGAACTGAGACGCCTGCTTCGCAGCCCAGCCCACCATGTTGACCTTGACGCTCGTGAACGGCCAGCAGTTGTAGCCGACCAGCCAGTCGTTCCACGCGTTGAAGTGGCGCTCCAGGATGGCCTGGAACTTGGACGCCGTGTTCTTGACTAGCTTGGTCTTGGCGTCCCAGCGCACGCAGTAGTTGATGGTGCCGTTGTTGTGCACAAGCTTGTCCATGTGGAAGTTCTTGTTGGCCATGACGTTCCAGTTCTTCTCCTGTGAGACGTCGGCGTTCGGGCCGATGCGGTTCTGCCACACCCAGTCCAAGTCCTTCTCGGTGACAAACTCGGTCGGGCTAGCGACGACGCACTGGCCAGGCTTGGACGTGATCTTGCCGAACGTGGGGGTGGCGCTGCTGTGGTTCGTGCCGGTCTCCGCGACGACGGGGGCGCCCCAAGTCGACATGGTCTCAATGACATCGGCCTTAGTGGACGACGGGAACAACCGGTCCAGCTGCAGCTGCTTAGTCGACTCTCCGGAGGCAGGTTTGAGCGTGCCAGCCGCAGCGGGTGTCTTGGTGTCGGCAGCGGACGCCGAGGCGGCCAGTAGGGCGGCGAGGAAGGCGATTGACTTCATGGCGGAGAAATCGGAAATGATGTCTTCACGCCAACGAAGGAGAAAATGTGTCTTCACGCCACCATGAAGTGATCTCTGAGAGCGGGAACACCTTCTGTCTCCAATCTTGAGTCGTGCTTTTGTCGAGCGTACAGGTCATGCACCACCCGATATCCAAGAAGTCCCGCCGTAAGTGTGAAAACCACAATACAGTATAGATCCTATCCATCTTGTTGAACAGCGCGGATAGCCTGGAGATCAGCTATTCGATCTCGTTGAACAGCATGGAAAGAACGAGCAGCACGAACAGCAATTCGCAAAGGGAAACGTCGTCCGGGCCAAGAATGGAACCTACGTCACGTACATTGTACGGCACAGTCTTGCACACTACCACCTGGTTGTACTTTACCTGCGATAAGTCAACACGGGGGCTATCCTCCACAGGCAAAACAGACAGAAAAAAGAGCAAAGAGAAGTCATGCATCACGGCATATTGGCTTGTACAGTACTAAGCTCGTTGCATTGAAGAAGCGCAACGGCGACTTGCCAGTGGATGTGGTCCAAGCATCCATGTAGAAAGCATATAGAGAAGGCACAGTTTCTCGTGGCCGCTTAGAGGGCGCGGGTAGTCGGCTACTGCGCAATGCTGTGTTTGTATGAGTGTCCACCGCCGCATGCTTAGCCTTCCCAGGTGCTACATCTTCATAAAGACCGTGCGTGCATCTACCGGTACTTGGCGTTTGTGCTGGTACATTATTACAACGAGCGCAGTACTTCGTGTTTTTTATTATAACATCAACGCGCTTTCTGAGGCAAGAACTAGCAGCACTTTTGCACATACACAATAGTACCACTAATTATTATTTCCATATCATTATTATGAAAAATGCAAGAAATGGCGAGCGATTAAATACAAAACCTCTTGTATATTTGCTTGAATATCGCCTAAATTGTATGGAAGGTAAAAGAGATCATCTATCAGCGTAGCGGTGCCAGGTTGTTATTTTATTACACTTGTATATTCGCTTGTCCATCTACTAGTGTTGTGGTTGAGCGAGCTTTCACTTATAACACAATTATTGCGGTGCGCTGTTGAGAGTGTGCTCTCTCCAATCTGACTGCCATTATTGGAGATACAGGAATTAGTGTTAATTTGGTCGCTATCAGCGTTCACTATAAATAGTGTTAAAAATAACATGATTTCGCACTAACACTAGTTGAGTGTGAGCACTAAATACTGTTATCGGTGTACAGTAGGTTTATTGTGGGTACAGTCAGGCCAGTTGTACACAGTGCCAAACTTATCCATCCTGTCATTCCTGTCATACCTATTAGCCAAGAGGTGCAAATAGCCGCGCTGTCGCCCGTGGATTGCGTGGCAGGTCAGCCTATCCGTAATGCAGCTGTGAACGTGCGCCCATGCTCGGCTGCAACAGCAGCGACGCCGTCAAACATCTGCCTTTGGTCGGGCCTATTATTTACGGTACAGGAGTACTATAGGAAAGCTCCAGACACCATGTGCCACAAGATTACAGTTCACGGCTATTACAGACATCTGCTTCAATAAAGAATACTAGAAAGCCTTTAACCCTTTATATTGTATGAATGCTGATTGGCTCACACGTACAAATTTGGCTATAATGCTATCACAATATTTCATTACCTTTCACAATTTTGTATATATCAGGTGTTTTTTATTGAAGCAGAAGTCTGTACACCGTTCACCCTAATTAGTCGTGTGACCTAAATAGTCGTGCACCTTTGGAAATCATTCCACCGGTTTTAAAAAATATTTTTAGTTTCTCCTTAAATTGAGAAAAGAGACCGGTTTCGGGTAGATCTCGGCAATACGAATTGCGTGGTATATTTTGTTTTCAGTAAATACGAATTGTTTCCGAGAAAACTGAAATTCAAAACAGGGTGAGGCGCCCTTCAGGTCGTACACGGTAAATAGTCATGGCACGACTAATTAGGGTGAACGGTGTACCGATTCACGGTAATGCAGCGCAGCATGCCCATGTTACATGTACTTCATGTAGGCAGCAATGCGGCATTGCCGGCTCTGGTCACCTCTCTTCTCTAGTACCGTTGGCTGCGTCCCGCTACTTAATCATGCGATAAACTGACTGTAAACTAGTCGTCATAACGGGTTCGTATACGCGCTTCAGCCGGTCTTGGAAGAGCCGCAAACACATTTTAGATGCATGGCTCGCTTGTGGCGTCGCGGTCTCGATGTTGACTCATTTAACTGTTGGCCGCTCGATACAGTCAACAAACGACAGACTGGCTGGCTCGGGGTCCGACGGCTGTGCTGTAGGATCGGCTCCCCATCCTAACTCGCTGTTCGTTCGTAAAGGTTGTCCGTCGTATTCAACAAGTTGGAAGCGCTCTTGTGGACTCCGTCGCTTTGAGCGACCAAAGACCGGCGTGGCGAATGAAAGTTGATGCGGCGGCACGTACCAAAGGCGTCAACGAAACCACGATGTTGCTTTCTCGCGATACCGTAACGCTGGCGCATTGCTGTACTGTAGCTCGCGGCATTGTGGGGTCACTCCCCGATTTACCGACGCCGTTCTCGGTTCGCAGATGCGGTCGAGCTCCGTATCGATACCAGTGCTTGCAGCCGCATTGGCCGCTACGTCGTCCGCTCTCGACTTCGGCGGCGAGAACGATGTCACGCAGACAGCGGGCACTGTGGCGCCCGACCAAGCAGCAGATAGCAGTGTAACGTTGCCTTCCGGGGGCAATGGCTTTGGGAACTTCGGGCCCCCGACGACGACGACATCGACTCCCGCTGGTGAACAGCCTTCTGGCCCTGGTAACCAAGGCTGGCCCCAAGAGCAAGGAGGGTGGCCGTCGCCAGCGTCCTACTGGAACCCGCCTGGTGGTGATCAACACTGGGCCCAGCACGGAGGATGGAAGTCTGGCTCGGCAGCGTATTGGACCCCACCAGGTGGCGACGGAACCCTGGGCGTAGACTGCAGCGGGTCTGGCGAAGGAGGGTGGACGCCTCCAGGTGGGGATCAAGGGTGGGGCACGCTGAGCGTCGACTGCAGCGGCTCGGGTGATGGTGCGTGGACACCTCCGAGCGGTGAGGAGACGCTGGGCGTTGAGTGCAGCGGCTCGGGCGAAGGCGGATGGAATGGCGAGCAAGGGTCTGAGACTCTGGGTGTCGACTGCAGCGGGTCGAGCGCTGGGGGGTCAGTGTCAGGGACCGGAGTCGGGTCGAACGCAGTGGAGGGCTCACAAACGACGCAAGCGTCCGGTAGCACTGAAACCGCCTCGACGGCTTCCAGCGGGACGCAAGACCAAGGTTCTCAGCCCTTAATGGATACGTCTTCGCAGCTGTCAAGCAGCACCGAAGACCACGAGGGTGCGTCCGATGCAGCAACTTCTGCAGCGACTAATACGGAGTCGAGTGTGGGTGCCGACTCGGATCAACGGACCATGCTGCGGTCGTCGACCACCGCGACAAGCTCCGACAGTGAGACCAGCCAACAAGAGCAGGCGTACGCTTCGCCCACTCAAAAGGACGTTGTCGCCTATACCTCCACGTGGGGGGCTCCTGTTGTCAAGGAGACCGGCAGCAACTACACCAGCGCCAAGCCCACCTTCGGCAAGATCACGTCAAAATCTGGCGAGTGCGTCATCGCCACTCCGACTGAGTACATCACCGAGAAGGACTTGGACTGGGTGTGGCAGAACCGCATCGGCCCCAACGCAGCGCCCGCGAAGGACAAGAACTGGAACGTCATGGCCAACAAGAACTTCCTCATGGACAAGCTGGTGCACAACAAAGGCTCCATCAACTACTGCGTGCGCTGGGACGCCAAGACCAAGCTCGACAAGAACACGGCGTCCAAGTTCCAGGCCATCCTGGAGCGCCACTTCAACGCGTGGAACGACTGGCTGGTCGGCTACAACTGCTGGCCGTTCACGAGCGTCAAGGTCAACATGGTGGGCTGGGCTGCGAAGCAGGCGTCTCAGTTCGGTTGGGCCGACGAATCGCTCGGTAAGATCTACGAGGGGGGTATATCCTTGTCCGACAAGGCGCCGCAGTGCCCCGACGAGTGCTACCGCTTCTACGACAATGTGAACAACGTGTGGTCGGACACGAGCGCGTGTCAGGGCGAGCCGTTCGACGTCTCGTTCTGGCTTAAAGAGGACATCCCGTACGGCTTCGGCTTCGACTGGGGCCAGGAGGTAAGCCTCAACAACACGATGCAGAACTTGTACAGCAGGAACATCATGTTCATCGGCCACGAGATCGGCCACGGCTTCGGCCTGCCGGACTTCTACGAGCCGGAGGAAAAACCCAGGGAGGACTTCCCCAATTCCATCATGATGGCGTACAGCTCGACCACGATCATGCCGAGCGACGGCTGGATGCTGCGTCGCATCCTCGACCACGTCCGAGCGCGCTACAAGTTTTAATTATCGGCGGAATTGGTTTCTTTGTTTTAAGTTTGCTCGCATCGGGACGAGCACGTTGACCCCCTATTTTTTTAAAAAGAAATGTTTTCTTCTCGCGTTCTGAAGTTCTGGTAAATGCGTGACACCTTGTCGTGGCGAGTACTATATAAATGCTTGTCTGCTGGTATCATACATGTATTTAGATAAAGTACAGTAGATACAACGACGATTCATGCTCTTTCGTAAGACGATACTGGTTCCTAGAGAGCATACCGTAAGACAAAGCGTCTTACGTTTTTCAATCAACGCATTTTGATTACATCTTGATTTTTGTATACCAGTGGCTACATTGAATTTTGTCACTCAAAACGTAAGACAGTTTGTCGGACACCAGTTTGCGCCATATTATTGGTCAAAAGCTCTACTTGACGTGCAGAGCTGCATGTGCATGCTCGGGCCCACTCAACCACAACAGCGGTGCGGATGCAGGCTGTGTTGGTGGCACCTTTGTTCGCCAAGATGACGCAGTTGCATGGCGCGTAGGTCCGTCGACAACAGGATGATATTCTGGCTGCAGCCACGGCGGCCGCGCCAGGCCTTGCGTGAAGCCTTAGCGCTAAGGCTGTTCTGATCTGTTGCTCTTAAAATGCCACGTCCAGAGCTTTTCAGTGCCTGGATGGTAACGAATAGTGTCACGAGGGAAATATTGTAGGAGTTTTCGTACTGTCAGGTTGCAATGTACGTATCATGATGCGGGCAAGCCTTCCTTCAATAACGTGGTTAGTTACGTAGCATAAGAGACAGCGATTCTAGAGCGCTTATAACCGCGCCAGTCTATTGCTGTCTGTTAAGCTTGAATCTACGTAGTGTTTCCGTTTCGGCTTTGTTGACAAGTTTCTAGAGAGTGCTCGAGTGTACATTCTAGTCGTTTGCTATTCAATGTACGCTCAAGCACAATTCAGTTCTCCGTGTACCAACCGCGTCGTGTCCTCCGAAGGGCATCTCCCTACTTACGCTGACTACGCGGCTTCATGGAAGAGCTCCTCGGACCTCATAAAATATGTATAATACGCACTTTCATTTGAAGGACCTGGCATTTAGTAGGTCGCTAGTTAGGCCAAATAACTGTGATGCACTTCACATTACTACGAAATCGAAAACGAAACAAATACACGTTCATGCTGCCGATTCTGCTCGTCAGCACGGCTATCTGTTGCTGGTGCATGCCACGACGGCGACGCAGACATACACGGACAACACCACGCATAATATTAGCCAATCACATGGCTAAATTTGATTTGTCGTCAAACTGTCTTACGAATGGTCGACACAAGCGATTTTAAAGCCACCGTTGGCATCCTATCGCCGAAATCGCGGCTATGGCATTGATCACATGGGGAGAGTCGGCTTTTCAAATTAAATTTTGTGCCGAGCCGATTACGGTGGATAGCCTCGCTGAAAAAAAACTTTCTTACGCATTCGTTCTCGAACTTGCGTGTGTACGGCACTAGTACGTTGCTTCGATGTCCGTTCATTGGCCCGGGGCGGCAAGAATCCTCTCCATCCACGTATCCGTCACAATGAAGTACCATGTATTTGAAAGCTCCTTCATAATGTGTGATGGCTTCAAATGGGTACAGTACGTACTCCTCAACGTTAAGCACACCGTGAATCTTGCGATGGACTGCACATCTGAGTATTTGCCCTTGTGTGGTTGATCGCGAATAATCTCCACGCAGTAATGGCGTCGGGTTCCCATTGGTGGCCGACACTTTAGAATCGGCTGTGCAGAGCTTACGTATCGCGAACCGGCTGACCATGGGCCTGCGGTATGTGGTGGCTTTCGTCGCGCTCGCGCTTATGCGGCTTGAGCGGAGTGGCGCTGTCCCCACCGACCCCACAGGAATTCTTACGTCGGACCTCCCACCACCTGACGCTCCCTTACGGAATCCGCTCCAGACTACGAAGCAAACCGACGAGGCTAAAAGGTTTCTTAGAAAACTAAGAGGGGGAAAAAATACCGACACGGCGCTCGACAGTGAAGAAGAGAGAGTGCCCAGTCTCTCCACTATAGCGAACGCGCTTGGTATGCTTGGGAATGCCGTGAAATCGAAGGGCGAGATGAGTCTGTGGTTATCCCTAGGACTCACTCCCCAGCAAGTTTTAAGTATTCTACAAGTGGTGAGCAGGCAAGACGACAACTACAAGATCTACACCAAGTACTTTTTCCGGTACTACGTCAAGTATCTCGACGAACCGCTGTCACGCTTTTCTCCTAAAACCATAGATGACATTTGGAACGCGAGGTTGCACGACTGGCTTAGCAACACGCTATCCCCTCCCCAAGTTTTCGAGAAACTAGGACTCACGGGCCCGTGGGCCTTGGCTCGTGACCATACAAACTACAAGTACTTTGACAAATATCAGAAGATGTGGGGCGACTTGCAACTGAGAGAGTCAAAACGCTTAGATAAATTCTAAGAAAATATGTTTTAGTTAATACCGCGGGCAGCTTGGACTCGAAGCCGTCCATAACATGCATCCAAAGTGGATGATAAAATCGAACGGGTCTTCTATGCAGCGATAAAAAAATCAAACGCATTCGCCTAGAATCTGTATTGTTTAAATTCCTTGAGAACTTTTATCTTCACGTTGGCTTCTTAACTTCATTCACCAGCTCATCGATTCGTGGTATGCATCGGAGAAATTGAATAAATGAGAGCTGTGTAGTGCAAACCATGGTGTACACACTGAAGCAGCGTAGGTCTACTACAATGTTGGAATGATTGAAGGGTATTTTCGATTTTCATTCTCTTCTATCGTTATAGCTTAATTGACGAGCAAATTTTGCTCGCGTGCTAGTTTGCCACTCATTCAGACTGACGATTTACCACCATCGAATCCATGGCAGTTTTGCGGCAAAGTATTGCACCGAAACGGCTAATAAACACATGCATAGAATACAAACTGCAGCACGAATACAAAAACAAAACCTCGATTGCACCGAGGGAGAATAGTGCGATGCCCAGTTGAACAGTACCCTAAACTGGATCGAAAAAAAATAGTAGCGAAGGTCAGAAGCAAGCGCACTGAGCTCTGAAATCCGAGTGGAATTCAGAATGAGTTACTCGGTAAGTACTAGTAGTGATGGAAAAGAACCGTTCTAAACGTTTTTCAAATAAAGTTTCATTAACCATGAGGTTCAGAACCCCGTTTAAAAATAGACGTTTGCAAAGCAGCACCTTCGGCACTGCGGACGGCAGTCTGCGGTAGGCATGCAAGCTGGACATAGTTGAAAGGATCGAGCCGCTACACCTGCTCTGCAACCATTTCTGTCTCCGGACCCATTACGCTCTCTGGGTATTCGCGAACGCGCGTTACATCGATCCATGTCGACGTCGTCGCGGCCAGGTTGATGTAGATGTAGGTCAGCTTCTCAACTTTGTCCTTCGTCAGCCGGTTGCGCTTTTTGCTGTGAATAAAGTCAAATATGCTCCAAGCGCGTTCGCTTGCTGCAGAAGAAGTCGGAACAGCAAACACCAGCCTCGCGAGGTCGTAGACTTTAGGATGGCTTTTTTCGAAAAATTGCGAATTGTACTCCCACCAGTGACTCGGTGCTGCTGCAGCATACTGAGCCTTCTCCTGTGCCGACCACCCCTTCTTCAAGGCTCCAAACGCGTACAGAGCTGCCGTGAACGCTGTCGAAGACGTGCTACCAAGCAAATGAGCTCGTTCGGCAAACGCAACTGCTGCTGCAACGCTTTCGTTCATGTCATTCTCCATGAAGTCACTTGTGTCAGTGGATGGATCCAGTAGAAACGCGATTTTTATGGCGTCCGTCTTCACAAACTTCCATCTCGACTCAATATGAGTTTTAATGGAACTAAGTAGACCGGTTGGGATCACGCGGTTGCTGGTTTCATAGATACTGTGTGTTCTCAGGCGTCGAAACAACGAGTACACTCTTGATGTTGCACACTTATCGGACTCCAATTCTCGCAACATCTCCACAATCGGGTCGATCAGCTTTACAGCGTGCTCTAAGCGTTCCCAGAAATCCGGATCATCAATAATTGCAATCACCTTGTCAAGTGACGTTCGATTGGCAGCAGTGACTTGGTAACGCGACAGGAGCTCAGCGTTATGCGACGCATCGAATAATTTCTTGATAACCACCATATTTGTCATCACGCTACGGAGGCAGACATGAAGTGTGTACCAGCGGGTTTGAATCGGTAGAACGAGAGCACGGCGCCGATCCGTGCTTGGGAGAGTTGTGGCTTGGTGAAGCGACCGAAACGGATCTAGCAAATCATCATGCGCCTGAATAACAGTTGACTGGAGATTGCGAAATTCGTCTAGAAGCGCGGGATGGTCTCGAACGAACTTCGTGATAGCGACAGCCTCCTTCCGGATAGCTGTGAAGAACGAGACCTTGAACACATCCTGGATCAACAGATTAATGGTGTGGGCAGCACATCTACCAGCGAAAATGGGTAGCTTGGCTTTCAAATGGGCCCATGCGTTCACCATGTTGCTCGCATTGTCCGTCATACCACTTGATATGACAGCCCCCGTCTCGGTGTGGACTTCGTTTATTACCCGCTCCAACTCTTTCGCCATGTAAGTCCCGGTACGCTGAGAGATACCCGTCGGTAGTGATGACCCAAACAGAGCTCGCATACCAGGGGCGACGACCATAAAGTTGACGATGCTTGCGTTGTTGGTGTCGCTCCATGCGTCAGTAACAACAGAGACCACACGCTGCTGCTTAATCAGCTGAATCACATACTTTCTGCATTCATCGCGCATTCGCTGCAGCATGACTCCGGCGTTCTTGTGTCGAGACGGGATTATCAGTCCAGGCGCGAGTAACTGCATGAACTGGCGGAAGAATAGAGACTCCACGAGAACAAACGATAGCGCACATCCAAACATTATTTGAGCAAACGCGAAATCGAATTGCTCTTGAGTAACCGAAGGTAGAACATTTCCACCAACAGGCAAGTCCGTTCGAGTAGTTGCTAGCGGAGGAGCACCAGTGCTAGTCGTAACCAGAGCCGACCGCTGCTGCTTCCTAGCTGCGTCAGCTCTCGCGAACTCACTCCATTGCTCGCGTATGCGTGGCGGCGCTGCGTTACAGTCGACCAAATGCGGGACCATGAACCGAACTGGTTGGCCCGTGATAATGCGGCTGTGGCAGTATCTGCACTCCGCAGCCACTTTCCTGCCATTGCCCTTTGGTTTCTTCACGAAGTGTTCCCATACAGGATGCGCGGGGCGGCCAGGCTTGCGAGACGGAGAGCGATGTGATGAAACCCCCGGCGAGGGCGACGTACGCTGCTGCCCCGCGGAGATGGCTTGAGGCGAGTCCCGCGACTCCGACTTCGACTCTTGTTGGATAGTAGGCGACTCCGAGACACGACGTTGCCGCTCCGCGGCTGCGGCAGACCCCCACACAGCCGGAAACACCGGTGATGGTTGACTCGCTCTACCTTGTTCAGGAGATGGAGAGCTTAGCGCGACTGGAAACCTCGGTGAAGCGTGACTGCAATGGCGCTGGGCCGAAGGAGGAGGTGACTGCTACTCCATTTGGACTTGGGAAGGCTTCGCGGAATTGCTAGCAGCAATGCCTAAGCGAGTGGCTTGACTTCTGACATTGGGTTCAACAGATAAAGATGCGACTCGATGTCGCCCCCAGATTGCCAGAACACGAGCAACGTTCGCGGAGCAGCGCTGAATAGGTGTTCTATTATGGTAGGGTCTTATAAAAGTATGGTGCGATTGTGCTAGCTGGGTTCTAAACCTCTACAAATGTTTAGACCCGGTTCTAAAATTTGACAACGTTGTGTAAGTTTTCAACCCTTCAGGTTCTTTACCATCACTAAGTACTACGTAGTATGCACTAAAATTCGAGATCGTTAGGTTAGCATGTCAAGTTGATATAATAAGGGAAACATGTACTTATAGTTGGTTACCTGTACAAAGTAGATTTGCGTACCAATTGCTCCTTATGCGAGTGTTCCAATTGGTCTCCTTAAAACCGTATTTGAAACCCGATTCATCTAGAAGCGGCCAACTCCAGTATTCATTTCTCCCAAGATGGGACGAGTCATTTGTTTTTTCCTACTGATGCATTTATTTCTTCCAGAATAGGATGCCATATGTGATACTGTAGATGCATTTACTTCCTTCCAAGCGATGCAGATATTACGGGAGCTCAAAATATAGTAAGAATACTTCGAAATATTTCTATGCCAGTCCACAGTTGCGTGCCAAGTAGCCACAGCTGCTACATGTATGTGAGAAACATTATAGTGACTGAGTACATGTTCTACGTAAGTATAGTATAAGCTTTAAACTTTTTTTAAAACTTATACAGTTAAAAAATACTGAAATAGTCAGTTGTGTGTTGTCGCATGAGTCGAGCCGTCAATCTAGTAGATGAAACAGAGTAATCAGGTTGGAGTGATCAACAATAAACCACACTGTACATTCGACGCAACAAGCCTTCTAGTAGGGGGTTTCAAAGTAGTTCATTAGCCAGATTTTTGGCGAACGATCAGACGAATTTTATGGCGGATTTTTCTTCTGTTTTTTCCTCCAGGAACATTGAAACGGCCAAAAGATTAGCCGCTCGCTGGCACCCATTTTTACAGCGTCCAGGCTGCTGAGGGGGAGGGAGGTATTCTGCTTCCGCACCCAACACCCGAAGCCCGTGCCGGACGCCCAGACCAACTCGTCCGTGCCCGACGCCGAGAGCGAGACGCTCGTGCCCACAGCCGCCACGACCAACTCGCCCGTGACCAACGCCAAGAGCGAGACGCCCGTGCCCGCAGCCGCCGAGCTCGAGGCGGTGGGTGCGTCCGAAGCCCAGGAACCCTACCTACTATTTGTAGGGTTTCCAGCGACTAGCAGATAGACACTTAGCAAGAGAGGTAAGTTGGAATTCTACTCTGTAAATAGCTCGCGACAGAGGAAGGGTATCCGGGGGCGCCATCTCCTTTCACGTGTGTTCTATTTCTTTAAGCTCAAGGCTAGAGCATACAATGTAGTGTAGTTGTAAATATGTTAACGATGAACACAGGCTTCAAAAAAGAGCACACGAAAATACAGTCTGTTGAGCAAGCGCTAGTGTTCGCACAAACACTAACTGTAAGACTAACACTAGCATTTGCAAACTGTTCGTTAGTGTGTAGTGAATTTGCCTTACATGTTGTGGAGTTAAACAATTTTCAACTTTTCATCTTGAGTTAGAAAGAGTTGAAGCACTCTCCACTTGTCGGATGCTGACTTGCACGCGAAGGTCTTCTTCTGTACGCCGATCGTGATAACTTCAAACTAGGCAGCACAACGGGTGCTACTTAATTGTGCGTACACTTGACTGACTTCTGAGTAATTCCACATTATGTGACGTAGGAAAGATGCCACGTCCGGCATCTCCATCTTGGACCAGACTGGAGGAAGAAACAGTTTGAATGCATCTGAGGAGTAACGCATCGATCCACTTATGCGAGCATGAGTAAGCTAATGAAACAGTTTGAATGCATCTGAGGAGTAGCGCATCGATTCACTTATGCGGGCATGAGTAAGCTAAAGAAAAGTTTCCCTAAAGGGTTTGTAGCACGTTATTTGTTTTCGAGAATAGCATCCCAACAAGCAACGTCTTTAAAATGGAGTCAGAAGTTCCAAGTTGACGCAGCGCACGAGTTTGAATGACGGTTTTGCACTCGGAAGTCTGAGCACATTACTCAGTACTCGAAAGTCCGCGAAATACTCAAAAGTAAGGACGACCCCTCGACAACGGGTAACAGGCCTCTTGAGGAGCCATTAATTTAATCTGCTAGCGATAGAGCAGCAAACATACAGGGCGTTTGTAAACAGCACTTACTGTAGGTTAGCCTGTTGTGAAAATCACTAACATGTTTGCGGAGTACTCTAGCAAGCGCTCATTACTACATGTCAAATGACTTAGTTTCAGAAACAGACTATGCTACTGTAGACTACACGGCGGCCACGCAGCCAGTGAACGGCGCACACCAGGGATGAAGCGTCCCTCAGTTATGCTATCTCTCTTCCTGCATATTCTGGTACTGTACGGCACTTCTAGTTGTACCCATTTCACGATATGAGCAAACAGCTGCTTAAAGAGCCATATGTTTGAATAAATGAGAATCCGAAAAGATCAGCCCGAACGATGCGTCTCTGTTGGTTTGTAGCTTGTGGTTGAGGGTGCAAATTCCGAAGTGAGATTAAATGTTATCGTCTCTCAAACTACTCTCTAGTCTTCCCCTCCTGCTTTCCTTCTTGTTCTCCTCGTGCTCGTTGGTGCCTCTCATCAGACGGATTACTCCCGGGTTCCGATTGACTTGATCTCAGTATACTTGGGTCTCCCTGACCAGCCATTGGTATATCCAGAGCCCGGCTGCCGCCGGCTCTCCCGTCGCCGTCGGATCCTCCGAGTCATCGGCGGATGTGTCCACACGTTCTCCTCGTCCATGTGCATCTATTGGCGGCGCTCCCGAAGACTCATGAACACTCCCACTCGCCGCTAATTCTGCACGACCGTCCCGACGATTCCGCTTGCGCTGATCAGGTACTTGAGCCTCTTCGTTCCCAACGCCTTGGTAAGCATGTCCGCGAGCTGGTCCTCCGTCGGCACGTAGTTGACGACGATGACTCCTCGGGACACATTTTCGCGGATGAAGTGATGCTTGATGTCCACGTGCTTGGTCCTCGCGTTGTACCCAGCGTTGCTTGCGAGGGCGATCGCCCTGGTTGCCCTCCCATACTTGGGTTGCTCCCACTTGCTCGTGACCCATGTCCTTGAGCATGGCGCGGGTCCACAGCACCTCCTGCGTGCACAGGCTCAGCGCCATGTACTCGGCCTCCGCCGAGCTGAGCGCCACCGTGCGCTGGTACTTCGACTTGAAGACCACCGGCGCCCCGCTAATCATCACCATGATGCCCGACACCGAGCGTCGGTCGTCGAGATTGCTGCCACAGTCGGCGTCGGTGTACGCCGTCATCTCGACCTTCTTCGCGTTCCCATTGTAGGCGATGCCGCTCTTCAGGTACCTGAGCACGCCGATGGCAGCCTTCCAGTGCTGCTGCCCGGGGTTCTCAAGGAAGCGCGACAACCGGGTCACGATGTACGCCACATCAGGCCTGGTGCAAGTTGTAATGTACAACAAACAGCCAATGAGTGCTCGGTAGGGCTTCGCTTGCATTTCCTCACGTTCCTTCTGAGTCATCGGCGACTGAGTCTTCGACAACTTCATGCCCGACTCGCACGGGTTCACTACCACCTTGGCGTCCTGCTGGTTGAACCGCTTCACCACATCATCAATGATTCGAGTCTGCTTGATCATGAGAGTCTTCGCCGATGAGTCATGGTCGATCTCCATACCGAGAATGAACTTGGCCTCGCCCAACTCCATCATCTTAAACGCATTCTTGAGCGCCACCTTGACTTCCTGGATCTCGCTGCTCGTCTTGGCTGCGATGATCATATCGTCCACGTACAGGCAGACGTACACGAACCTGCCCTTCTCGCCCTTGACGTATACACACTGGTCACCGCCGCAGCTCCGAAAGCCGATGCCCACGAAGACTCGGTGGATGGTCTTATGCCAGGCATTTGCCGCCTGCTTCAGACCATAGATCGCCTTCTGCAGCCGACACATCATGTTCTTCGCGTTGATGATTCCGTAGGATACCTCCATGTAGACGCGCTCCACCAGCCCGCTGTTGAGAAAGGCGGTGTCCGCATCCAGCTGCTCGGTGATGTACGCCTCGGCCACCACAACCGACAACACCACTCGGATCGAGTTCATGTTGGCCACGGGCGAGTACGTCTCGAAGAAGTCCACGCCATACTTCTGCTTAAACCCTTTCGCCACCAGGCGGGCCTTATACCTGATGACTCGGCCGTGCTCGTCGCGTTTGATTGGGAACACCCAGCGACAACCGATCGGTCGAGCACTCGGTGTCCGACGGACCAGCGTCCATGATTCGTTGTCCGCGTGTGCCTTGAGCTCCGCATTCATTGCCTTCACCCACTCCGACGACTCGTCGCTCTGCATGGCCTGCTGATACGTGGTGGGTGCGTCATTGGTATCGCCGACGTCTGCGGCGTAGGCCAGCACCGCCTCAGCCAATAGGCTGTCTTTGTCCACCCTGGGTCGCTTCGGAGACGGTGGCCAGAAGTGATCATCGTTGTCCGAGTCATCGGGACCATCTTCTTTCGACTCCTCACCGTCTGCGGAACTATCCCCAAGTAGTAGTACCAGTTCTCGGGCACGCCGGGTCCGTTCCGGCTCCGGATGGAAGACCATGTCATCATTAAATACCGGTCTCGCGAGTCGTCGGTACGTTGTCAGCTCCTGCATGGATGGCTCCGGCGTCTCCGCCTCAAGCATTTCCGCGTCCTCGACGGTCTCTTCCACCAATTCCATCGGCTCGTCGGCGGCAGGTCGTTGCATCTCCTCGTGCAGCGCCACTTCATCGTCGACATCTTTCGTCGACTGAATGATCGGCGAGTTCTCGCTGGGCGACGTGTCGTAGATGCCGTTTACCTCGCGCTCGTCCAGCTTCACGGACCTGGACACCTTCACCTTGTTCGACTCCAAGTCGTACACTCGGTAGCTTTTTGAATCGTCGGCGTACCCACGAAACATACATTTGAAGCTCTACGGCTCCAACTTGGTGCGTCGCGACTTGTCGACATGGGCGTAACCAATCGACCCGAAGACTCGAAGATGGCCCAGCCGAGGCTTCGACTTGAACGTCAACTTGTACGGAGTCTTGGTCGGGTGCATGCTGTTCGTCGACCGGTTGATCAGGTAGACAGCAGTGCTGACCGCCTCTGCCTACAATATCGAAGCCACGCCCTTGTAGTGTAGCATGCGTCGAGCCTTCTCCATGATCGTGCGGTTCATCCGCTCCGCCACGCCATTCTGCTGGGGGCTATACGGGACCGTCTTCTGATGCATAATCCCATTCACCCGGCAGATCTCAGTCATCGGCGGGTTCACGAACTCAGTGCCGTTGTCCGAGCGCAGGCATTTAATGCGCTACCCCTACTGGTTCTCGTACAGCTTCATGAACGACTTGAACTTGGTCACGACCTCGCTCTTCTTGGTCAAGAAGTACGCCACGACGTGTCGCGAGTAGTCGTCGACAAAGGTGAGCACATACCTCGCTCCGCCCTTGGACTTCGTCTTCATAGGACCCATCACGTCCGTATGAACCAGTTCCAGCGGTCGCGTCGTCGCCGACGTCGACCGCGACGGGAAATGTGCGACCGCCTGCTTGCCCTTCATGCATCCTCCGCACAGGGTCTTCGTCTGCTGTTGAGTCGTCGGGATCCCGTCCGTCGCCTCGCGGGTCTTCGCCATAGCGTCTCCGTTCAAGTGTCCCATACGAGCGTGCCATAGCTCCCACTTTCCGTCGACTCCCGAGTAGCGCCATCTCCTGCTGACAGTCCAGCAAGTACGGATCTTCTTCCCGTCCGCGATTGTCACATACATGTCCGCCGACGACTCGTTGTACTCGAACAAGTCATCGCGGTGGGGCGTCATGTGAGCCGTCGCCCCACTATCGATCAGCCAACCCGCTGATGGATTCTCCGCCACAGCGAACACCGAGTCTTCGGCGGTGTCTCCATTTGCTTTTTCCGGGCAGTCCCGCTTCATGTGGCCCACTTGGTCACAGCAGAAGCACTTGCCCTTGAAGCCACCGACCTTTCGTCCGCCGTTGCGCTTGCGGCCGAATGCCTTGCCGCCCTTGCCGAACTTCCCGTTCTGGCCCCCACCTCCGAACGAGGTAGCCTTCAACGCGCGCTCCGACGTCTCCTTCTCCTCCTGCCGCTCATACTCCTTGAGCAGCTTCTCCTTCACCTCGATGAGGGTCACGTCCTTCGCGTTCTCGACGATGGATGCGATCAACTCGTACTCCGCCGGCAAGCTGCTCAGTAGGATGACGAGTTGTCGGGAGTCATCGAGCGGCTCTCCAAGCGTCTGGAGGCC